TTAATTGACACAGATTTGCAAGCGAAAAGCTTGTAATGGTTCCTGTTACGTCTTCCACATCAAATGCATTTACCATATAAGTTTGTTGTAAATTATATGCCTGAGTGGTAAGGTCAGCTTTCATTCCATCACCTAATGAAAATAATTTAAAAGCTCATGCTTGGTCCTTGAATTACAAAGTAATGTGATGGTAGACAGCATTTGACATTTGCTCTACAATAACTGAACTCTGTTAAACGTTAAATATCTTACTCACACATAGTACAAGAATTTAAGCAAATGCTACTCATGCTGCTCTCCTAACGATGACCTTTAAGTAAGGCAGGCCCTTGGAAACCTCCCTGCCTGTTAGAAAACGATCCAGCACAAACAAATTTAAGTGATCTAATGAGAATTTATGTTTATGAAAACAGATTATGTCTTCTTACGTATTTGTGTTCTTGACAGTGGATGTCAGTGCATGCTGTGTATTACAATCCAGAGGGTAACAGCAATGCTTTTCCTTTTTTATTTACCTCATTTTGTCATGTATATACTGTGGGAAAAGTCTCAAATAAAGAGGTTGGTTTATGTGCAAGTGATCCCAATCATTCAGAAATGAGTACTTTTCCTGGCTCTGCAGAATCACCAGAGGCAGGTCTTGCAAGTTGCCATCTTGAAATGCCTCCAGGTGTCTATTTATGGACGTTATTTTGCAGCTAACTTTAATTTTAATGATCACTGGGATATAAAACAAACAAACAAATAAATTAAAACAAATATTTAAAAAATTCTTTGAGTGGTATTGTATGATATTTATCCCTAATATGGTTGTTGTGCAAGCTAAAGCCCCACCCACCTGCCATTCAAACCTTTGATTTATGAGGGGCAGCCAATCAGAAAAAAGCTGGCTGCCTTCAGAGTGACTTTAAAGTGAGTGGAGCTGAAATAGCTCGTTTCAGCCGGTTGACAAACCGAGAAGCCGCACCAAGAACCAGTTTAGACTGGATTGGCTTGACTGGCTCAGACAGAGATATGCTCTATTATTTAGAAAATGACCATTTCGCTACCGAGCTGTGCGTGGTTGTTTTGTTATCAGGCAATGTTGATGCTCTGGGCATCTAAAAAGGTCGGGGGCAGTTATATGTGTGTCAGATGTGGGCTTAGCTAATTACTTGTTTATTTTTTTTATACTGTTTGCTGATAATGGCCGCCTTCAAACCTCTGAATTGTGAGATGACAAATGAATTTATTGTTCATTGAAAATAGCATTAATGACACAGTCACAATGCTTTTTTGCACAACAAATAACCCAAAACCTGAATTATCAAAGAAAAAAAATACACATAAAATTCTGGGAATTCTGCTTCGGAGTGGAAATCTTTTTTTTTTTTCTTTTAGAACTTTCCAAGCTGTTCTTATTGAACCCTAACAAACAAATAATCAAAAACAGCTGCCCTCCTCTCACACTGCCTAAGTGTGGAAAAGCCAATTATATTTGATGGTGCAGGGGCTCATTCATTCTCTCAATCTCGATAAAAAAAATATTAAGCATTTTGTTAATAAATAAATAAAATGTTCATATGTACATATCACTAACATGGTTCAGAAGGAGCTACCATATTAATACCATTAAAACAGGTGCATAATTTTCACAGAAACAGTGTAAATGATGGAACGCACAACAAAAAAAGGGAGAATTTTATTGTCGTTGTACTTTTAGTTATTAAACCATCCAATCAGTAGTGATATGCATAACAGGTGAATTCAGTGATGGCTCTTTACCTAGCTGGAAAACCGAAACGATAGGAGAACTTTGATGATCCGTGGCTGTTGAGAATCCCTCTGCCGCCCGCCCCTCAGTCATGCTGGTTTTGTTAAAATGTTTACCAAGGCTCAGTCAGCTTCAAATTCATTCATAGTGTTCGAATCGATCATTTGTCTCCCCCCTCTTCCAAATAAACAAATCCTGTGTCATTTTTAACAATCGCACAGTTTGCTTGTCAGAGAAAAATGCTCCAAACCTCTCTCCAGAAGGACACTGTGTAACATATCTTTGAGTTTAATGTCACATCCCCCACCAGTGGGACAGAAGGCAACATGGCAGCGTGAAGGCTGGTCATGCAGGAAAGGGGGAGGAAGTGAAGACCAAAGAGCTCAGGGCTACTCTGAGCGGTGATTCATGTAATATACTTGTCTTTCCAGGGTTTAAATCAGTGGTTTATATTATTTGACAAAAAGACTTTACTGATACAGTTGGAGTTAAGAATACTTAATTAACCACAATTAGGACTAGGGAAATAGATCAAATATAGTCAGTATACTATGGTTTGTTCTACGTGGGATGTAGTAAATGTATTGGGAATGCTTGGTACAAACTGTCATATTTTTTTAAGCTGCCAGCATGACACAAGCTTTGCTGTTTTGCTTCTCGGGCTCTCTCCCATGATTCCTTCGCTCTCATGCACATAAAAATAAGTAGATAATAATAAGTTACCAGTGCCTCCATTTAAGTCAACTGCCTTCGTTTTTTTTGAAGTAGGCTTATATTAGTGGCAAAGCTGTGGCAGAATCGTTATAGTGCACCTTTCCTTTCTAAGCTTAGGGTACAAAAGGTTTCACGCCTGGCAAACCTTCTTATGAGAGCAGATTTTATTACAGTTATTACAGAAACGTAATAATAGTTTGCCTCCGGGTTTTACAAATTGTTGAAAATTCAGTACATACACAAAATATGAGCAAGTTATGGCGTATTATGAAAAATGCAAAGTAATTTACATGATTATGTGCATCCCCTTGTAAGTTACGTTGATTTTCTGAGCTGCGGGGACTCAATCATCTTTTTTTTATATCAAGGATGCTCTGCTGTATATTCTGCATTTAAAGAGACAGGAAATGAAGCAGAGAGGTGGCTTAAAAATGTATAGATTTGGAGCAGCTGTGAGTTATTGAAATCAATAATTTCACTCAGTTATCTCCCTAAACACATAGACCGATCGTTTGGAACCAGACCTTAAATTCTTAAACCAAGTGCATAATTCTTACAGAAACATTGTAAGTGATGGATTGCACATGCAGTAACAGGAAGGGATTGGTTTCCCCCTGGCCTGTATTTGAGGCTCAGCCTTAATTTGTTTGTTATGACCATGACCCAGATGTTATTAGAAGCACCTTAGCTACTTTCTGCAGAAGAGAGCCTCCAGTATTGCCCAGAAAGTGTGATGTCTTGCCACAGATACGGCTCTCTCGACTTCTGCTCTGTGGCAACAGCGACTTGAATTGTGTGTTTTTGTCAGACAGTGTCGTGGTCAGGGTGGCAGATGGAAAAAACTAGGATTTCAGCAGTGCAGAGGTGCTGCTTGAAGACGGCTTTTTTACTGGCTGCCAGTTCACGCGTTGTTTCATATTTCATACTTGCTCTGTTTTCTAACAACAGAAACAGGAAAAAAAAAAGTGGAAATCAGAACAGCTTTACTGGGAATTCAGCTTCATTAAAAAACATGCTGCTGTCTATATGTGAGTATAGACAGCAGCACAGTAGCTCCATAGAACTAGGCTACATTAATCATAGCTACATCATGCCATTTCTTCTTTTAAAAAATAAGATTTATTAATTTAACAGCTGCTAAAAGTATCCAATTACCTAAATAATAATAATATTTTACTGGGTTGTATTCTCTTTTTATGTTTTTGCATGCAAGTTTAATATTGTAATATTGTTTGGGAGGAGTTTTAAAAGCAGAGAAATATTTTGCATCTTATTATGGACCATATCTCCCAGTTGAGCCACATACTTAATTGAATCTGTTCTCTTACAGTGTGCGGGTAGTTGGTGGTATGCAGTTACATAATATTTAATCTATGTATACAACAGTGCAGTAATATCAGACTCAGCGCTTTGCACACAAAAAAAGGGCTTCCAGCTTATTAACCTGTAATTATGCAACAACAACGAGTCATTTCTTTCCTGCCTTCATGCTGCTGTTTTCTGTTGATGGGCTCGCTTTTCTTTCTTTTTTTCCCATTTTTACCCATCCCCCTCACTTTCTCTTCTATCCTCATCTCTATTTCACTCCCTCTCTTTCTTGCTGTCTCAGTGTAATGTGATCCAGGACCGATGCTGGCAGCCCCAACTGTGGCACTGCAATCTCTGCTCTGCTCTGGTTGCTAGGCAGCCTGTCTGAGACAGAGCTCAGTGATGCACCTCTCTCTCCAGTCTGCCTCCAAAACATAAATAAATATATATATATATAAATGAGAAAGGGGATAGTGGCAGGGTTGGCAATCGGGCCACCAGCCAAAATTCTGAAGAACCCACCAAATGTTTCCATTTTTCAGATCGGCCGCTTCACATCTGCAGTGCAGTACACTGTGAGCCTTCGAGGCTTCAGGAGCAGCGCACAGATATGCAGAAACCGTGAGCTCTAACCCGCAGGACGAGCAGATATCCACTGTGATGCTGCCCACGTTCCCGTGTGCTTGTGATGGAAAATTGCTGCGTGCAGATTTTGTGTCATCACGCCTAAAATGAAACCTACCATGTGTGGCTAAAACAGTGGGCTGCTGGCAGGCTGCCCAGGTGTGGGATATCGGTAGGGGAGTGAGGTTACTAGGAAGAAGCCGCATGATCGGCTACTTCAGAGCCGCTATGAGTCACGGCTCCAGTTGCTCCATGTGGCTGTGGAGGACGTTAGCTTTGCTCAACGCACAATGGAAACATTTTGAGGCCTCCGTCTCTTCATCGTTTGTCCAATTTGCGCTTGTGGGCGTCACACATGTTATGTGATAAACTAGATTTGCATATAGATTGTCCGCTTTTAGCTAAAAATCCCTCTTTAGTAGAAATACTGCGCTCTGCTCTTTGTACAGGTAGACTGTCTTTTACATCATAATGTGTAAGAAGATCAGAAACCAGCGAAAGGTGGCGGTAAATTCTGTTTGTGATTTACCTGTTATCGAGCTCCTTTTACATAAGACCTGGCGAGACTAATACCCTCGCCTGTATCTGTGTGTGTCTGCAGAAGTACAGGTACCAGGATGAGGAGACGCCCCCCTTGGAGCACAGTCCAGCACATCTGGCTCAAGGGAAAAGTGCAGAGATGCTTCATATGAGTGACAAAAACCTCGCCGCCATGGAGGCGATCCATGGCTACACACCACACACGCATATCTCACCTGTCAAGGTAGGATACGCACGTTCCAAAACACACTCGCTCATGTGCATTGGTAATCAATACACAACACTATTACAACAGCACAAAGCACTCAGCTGTCAACACTTAGGAACGACGCCGTTAGCCCACGGTGCCAAAATAAGCACACCCTTGCTCGAGAGCATATTGCAGAGAGCTTCACACATCATCGTTCCACAGCCAATTATATATGTACTGCAGTGCTGAATATTCAATGCAACATCGGTGAGATAACTCTGACTTCACATTTACATGACATCATGTGAGCCACTTTGCAATCTGAGTGCATCAGAGATTTATTTTTTTCCTGCAGTGCAGCTCAAAAACCCTAATTACACACGTACTAATTATGCTAAATGTATGTTCCGTGGAAGCGGATAATTGTATCTATAATTCATAATATTTGATGAAGACGCTTGAAAATTGCTGTTATTATTAAAGAAGATTGTTTAACACCCCCCTAAGAAAAAAACAGTATATATCACAGATTATTAGATTTCTGGTAGCTTTTTAATTCAAACACACACAAACACGCACACTATCGATCTATTATAGGTTTTCTTAAGATGTCGTGTTGTCTTTTTTGGAATCATGGTCAACTTAAGTATGGTAATGGGAATGTAATACATTTATGGGGAATAGATACGGCCCCTGGCACCTTAAATGGTCAGATCAATTTTGCACTTACATGAATTTGCACAGCTTCAAAATCAATGTGCAGGATGCATTCAAGAGTTTTAAGGTAGTAATGCGAACACTTGAGACATTAAAGAATGCATTCAGATATAGGTTTGGTTTAATAAATGATACTGTGTGACAGCAGCAAAAAAAAAAATCCAACAAATTGAAATCAAATCTCTCATTCTGAGTTTGGTGGCAGCAGATAGCTTGACTGGCGGATGGAGTTGCAGGTACAGAATCAAATGTATAGAATAAGGAAATGCTTACGATTCTTTTTTGCAATACAGTATTTAATGTCTTTGAGAGCTTCATGACAAAGAAGGAGGCAATGACACCAACAGCACAGGAGATGCCGGTCACACAGTCAAAAGATACAGCTGACATCAGTCGGAATATGAGCACTTTGCTAGGAGTGCATTAGCAAATACCTAGTGTAGCTACAAATGTAAAGGTGTAAGCTATAATGGCCACTTAATAATGATCTGTCTCCTATGCCCACATGCGTTATTTAACAGCATCCCTTGCTATTAAAACTTAAGAGTGCTTGCATTTATTTAGTTTGATGGGGTTTTTTTGAGGTCATCGGTTTCTCACCAGGGAATACAATGGAGAGGCTGAGTTATTGTTGTCTGCTGCTGTTTAAAATATACAGCTGTATGTTCAGCATGAGCTCTGGTGGCCATGGAGATTTCTCCTTGAGGATGCTGTGAGGAGGGTGCTCTGTATGGGAATACTGCCAAATTAAAAACCACCGCAGTAGCTTTGGAGAGTTAGGTCAAGTCGTACAAGACACTAGAAAAAGTTCCTTACTCGGTACAATGCACAAAACCTTGTCTAGATAGAGATTTTAAATGGGTATAACACTGTATACTGCAGGAATAACACAGGGTAATAACATCCAGGAGTAGTGAAGAAGGTGTGAAAACCCATGTTTGTTATTTTAGCTCTCATCATCTTGGTATTGTTCTTTTAACCGGACATGAACATATTTAGACTAGAGGGAAGCGCAGGGGAGTTAACAGCTAAGCTTGGGTAGATATTTGCTTCCATAATTTGTTACAATAGGAAACCTGTGACTTTGGTACAGGCTTAAAAACAACATACAGCACTCACTTATCAAAGCAGCACTACCTTAATTATGCCTAAATTTAAGCCTTTGTTTGGTTTTAAGGAGTAAATTATATAAAAATCAATTGCCTGTACAACTATAATGAGGTAGAAAATAATGAGAGCAAACCGTTTTATGCCAAGATGTAATCATGTATATGTCGGCCTAAATTTGGGTATTTTAACATGAGAGTCTATTAGGTATTGGCTCTCTTTTGAAGCCAACCTCAAGTGGCCATAAGAGGAACTACAGTTCTAGATTTCATTTTGGCTTTTGAGGTTGCTCGTTGATGGGCACAAACAAGAACGTGGTTGTAATATATAATATACATATATTTTGGTTGTGGTAACTTTGTCTATAAGTCTGTGATTCTTACTCTTACTCTTACTCAATTTGGAAAACCTACTAAAACTTAACTTTTAATTACATTTTACAGCTTTCAACACCATTACCATTTATACTAGACCAATTATTCTGATCATTATTATTATTATTATTATTATTATTATTATTATTATTATTATTATTATTATTATTATTATTATTATTAAATATATTAAATTCAGTCTGGACAATGAACTACCATAGCTTTTGTAATTTTAGACATTTATCACGTAGTTTCATTGGTGCGGACAGCTGAAGATCACAGTGGGCTGTATGTGTCCGACGATGTAACATGACTTTGACGTCCCTGCTTTTGAGGCTTTACCCGTGTAGTTGTTCAAGACTGACAACAAAAGGATGACATGTTTTTCTCTGTTAAACCATTTTTTGTAGATGTTTAAGGGGGTGATGTGTTGTGACAGTTAAAATATATATTTAAAAACAACATGACGTGTAAACGTGTCGCATTATTAGCTTTTACAACGGACAGACAAGCTCTCTTTTTTTTTGTTACTTTGAATCCCTGTGCTCCCAGTTGAGTTTGCCATCCAGCACATGCCAAGGGATCAGTAATTATTCATAGTTGATGGGTGCACCATTTATTATGGTAATGTGGCAGGAGAGTTACTCCATTCTCTAAAAACCCACCAGTATGAGGTTTATCAAGTCAAATAAAAAATGTAATGCGTGCCCTCCAGTGGTTTGGGTCCATTACATGACTCATTCAGTCAGTCCTTTGAGGCTTGTGGTATTTTTTTCAGTATATCTGTGAGTTATCATACAGGAAATATTATTTATGATCTAATAATGATAACGTCTGTGGGTTGTTGTTTTTTTAATATATGTTTCAAACTGGCAAATTGCCCGATTTACTTATTGTATCCCATTACACTGAAGAGTATTTTATATGAATATCAGTAGGTCCCCCTTTTATCGTGAGCATGGAGACTGGCCACTGTATTAGGTACACCATGCATGACTCCTTCTGCTTTCAGAACTGCCTTAATTCTTCACGTCACAGATTCAACATGGAAACATTCATCAGAGATTTTCGACCCATGTTGACATCATACTGGCTTCATGACATTGCAGCATATTTGTCAGCTGCACATCCACAATGCAGTTTCCTGTTCCGACGCATCCTAAAGGTGCTTTACAGGATTGTGATCTGTTGAAGGTGGAGGCCATTTGAGTAAAGTCTCTCTCATGTCCCCCCTCCCAGCAGTGTGAACCATTATTCAAGGCAGGATGGATCCCTGCTTTTCATTGCAATTCTCGATCCTGTCAAAGTGTCCACATGTACACAGTTGCTGCCACAGCATTGGCTAATATTTGCATATAAGCTATTAGGTATTAGATACTGGCATTAATGAGCAGCTGAAGAGGTCTCCACTAATAAAATGGCACTTAGCATATAACTTTTTCTGTGAACTGTTTCATTAGATGTGCACTTTCATTAGAAAAGAAATTGTGTTGAGGCTGGCATGCAGAAACAGTGTACAATTGGCATCAGAAATATGAAATAATTCTGCTTTTCTTCTGTTATCTGTATTTCTCCTCAAACAGTGACTGACTCTGCTACACTGTATCATCCTTACGAGTCTTGACTCTTTATTATTTTGACTGCTAAAGCATTTTATTGGTGGACTTCAGTTTGTGCAGCATACCATGACTTTGTACTCTTAATTGGCTTCATAAAATTTATAAAGCATGCTTCTAAGGCACATGTAAGCCCTTATCTAATTATTTTCCAGAAATGTAAATGTATTTATTTTCAAGGGGAAAATTTATAAAATTGCATAGAATTACATATTAATTCAAATTAATAACACTGAATTTTTAATTTACTTTGGTGTGTAGATAGGTGTTATAATTGTTTAAATAAAATTCCTGCTTGGTTTTTGTGTTTTGTCTTACACCATTAGACCACATGTATCTCAAATTAATAGTAGTTTGACATTATAGTACAAATGTAATCAGTTTTTAATTGCCTTTAATTGCCTTAATTTGTTAGCTAGCATAAGTTTAAAATATACTTACTTATTTAACATTATCTACCTTTTTGCCTGCAATGTGAGGAGAGTAGTTGTACATAATACTTCTAAACTGCCAAGCACAGAGACCTACAGGGCTGCTGAAGCTTTAATTTAGAGTGCTGTGATATTTTTTCTGTTACGTGTTTAGATTTTGATTCTTGTTGAAATGTAATGTCATTTCCAGTGTGTGTGGGCAAGAGAAGTGTAAAGTCAACAGGCCACCACTATTGCAACTTCTGTAGTGATTAATGGCCAGTCACTGGTCCTCTTTAAGGTTGTTTTTCAAATGTTAATAAAAGCAGTATTCCTGTGTGTAGTCTATGGCACACGGGGATGCAGAAAAAAAGTGAAATCTGTCTTCAACATGTAATGTAACCACTGTTAAATTTCCTTGGTTTTCTGTCTTTCTAAATATAAGATTTTTTTCTATAACATTTTTTAAATTAATTTTCAGAATTTAGTCATATTTATTGAATTGAATTTATTTAATTTATTTATAAAATCCTATTATAATACAAGAAATTGTTTGCCCATCCTACACAATCAGGAGTTGAGCAAAAAAACAAAACAAAAAAACATGGCACACGGGTATATTTTAAAGGCACTGAAGGTTCTTATCTATATCAGATATGTCATCACGTTACCTAGCAACTACCTAGCAACAAGCTAAAATGACCCATTTTTAGTATTTATGCGCAAATTTATTTAATTTATGAAATCATTACAGCAGTAATGCATAAGCACAACACAAAGCACAAACAATACTTGGGTTTGGGCATGGCCTCTTTTACTCTGGTAAAAATATTATTTGATACATTAATTGTTAAGATTTCTACAACATCAGTGTGTGTTTTTATCTCCCCAAAGAACCTAAATAATTTTTTTAAACCTAAATAAATATGTTGCAAAATATGATGCATTTTAAATGTTATATATGCAAAATATATAATTATATATATAAAAAAATGTCAGAACGTTTAATAAACATTTTTTTTTCATTCAATTCTCTGTCAATTATGTCATGGTTTAGGCTTTAAAAAGTATGACACAGTCACTATAACCAAGCTGGAACTGTACTGCTCACCACTTTTAAGTGAAAGTTGCATCATTTTTGAGGCAATGAGTTTTTATAATTCTAAAACCAATTTAGCAAATATTAAAGTGCAGGCTGTGAAAGCATTTCCTTGATATCATCCCTCAATGTGATATTAAGTACAGTGGGTAATACCTGGTGTAAAATACAAGCGTTTTGCAATATAAACTAAAACTATAATGAGGTTTTGCATTCTGAGTGTCCCATGTCTCTAAAAGTCTCCTAAAATAGATTTTCTACAGTTTCCCCATTTTGCCCAAAGACATTTCTGGTGCTCAGTATGTTCACTGCATCAAAACTTGTGTGACACAGAGAGCAGTTTATAAACCACTAAATTGCATTAGCAGCAATAACACTGTTATTAAGACACCTACACTGCAGTGAAATTCTGTCTTGAGGATATTTTTCCTAACATTTGAAAGAGAGCATGTTGATGTTGTTTGCACTGGTGTTTTTTTGAATCAGGATTGGCCCTATTTCTATTTTTGGAATACCGCTATTATTTATGAAGTTTTGTGTTTCTCTTCAGGGAGAGCTGAATGCATGATGAAGTACAAAGGTCTGCCTTAACTTAGTTCAAAGTGAATTGTTCACATCACGCTCTGGGAGCTTTGCGTGTGCATCCTTGGATAGCTATAAAAACAAATACAAGAACGTAACTCCGTCCTAGGCTGGCTGGATGCCTGAACATGTGGCGACCCTTATGTTTGTCTCACTCAGAGTTAGACGAATAAAAATCATATTGTGATCAGATTTCTGCGATATTATGAGTCACACGCAAATATTAATACAGGCCTGATAAAGAGATTTAATAATTATTACATATGGCTTACAGGTAATTGATTTTTTTGTTGTTAATTGTGATTTTGATGAAGATTTAAAGACAATAATGGTCAATTTCAGGATAACTATGATGATGATGTCTGGTTTATCTGCACTGTGTTACTCCATTTGCTTGTACTGTGTCCTCACACAGTACCCCTGAGGGCTCTTGTGAACTGGTTTGTTACTTTTTGAACAACACTGGAAAGCCTGGCCTTCATCAATTGGAGATAAAGTATCTGAATTTCAGGAGCGGGACTACGCCTCCAAACACGCTCCTCCCGGTTCTCATCTATATATGTTCCCCCAGTTATACAAGCTGTTCATTCTCGTTTACGTAGATGATGTGGGTCCAGCGAGTGAATAACATTGCCCAAGTTTTACTTTCCCATCTTTAAAAACCTACTCCACACTACCTAACCCCTCCTGCAGCCATCTCACATGCCTGAGACTGCGTGGCAGCAGAAACATTGACTCGTTGCATATATTTCATACTCTTCAGCTTTGATATGACTCCTGATTTGCCATTTAGCAAGCCAAAATATTTCCAGTGAAGCACTGAATAGAAAGCAGTGTCTATATTAAGAAAGACAGGTAGTGTCTTTTAATAACAGGAGGAATCGGCATGAATCAACTGAATGAAGTGCTGTGCTGGATCAGCAAATGCAGCTGTCCTAACATTCATACTTTAATTACATGCTTTGTTGTAATATAAAACGTTTCCAGTGGGAGGAAACGGGTCTCCTGACATGTGAAAATGCTGCAGTGTTGCTGTTTGTAAAATTCATGGGCACACGGTGGATTGTTTAAAACTTCAGCTGTGCAGAGTAATCAATTCTGCTTTAACAAGCACTGACAGTCCCACTGTTTCTTAATGGTTGTATGTACCTGAGTGTTTTTTACTCTCTCATATATAAGCTATCAGTGAGTAGTAGAGACAGTCCGTCTGTGTCACTGTGTATTCTGCTTAGTTTGATTGTTTGATCGCTGTTCTGCATTAATCCATCTTCAGGGCTGGTGCTTGTATAAATGATCAGTATACAATTTTTAATCAATGTTTCTCGATGTGCTGTCTGTGTGGTACACTGTTTTTAAGATTTTGCATATAACAAGTATTTTACTTTCAACACTGTAGTACAGTATGTTACAGTGTGGGCCCTTTAACTGTCGCATTCAAGGCCTGCTTTCAGGATTTCTTAGAAATATACAAAATCAATCGCCACAAGAGAAAAGACTGAGCGGTACCCGCTGTTCTTCCCTGTGCCGATGTACAAGGCCTGCACAATTACCCTCTCCTTCTGTTGTTTTGCAGCCTGTGTTGATGTCTACGGGACACACTCCAATGTACACCTCCGCTGTTTCCACACTGGTAAGAGCAAAGCAATCCGTGCTGGTCCATCAACGTGAAAGTTACCGGTATCATCATCAGTCATCATAATCAGTGTGTTTTTTTATCTTTGTTCCGTGTCTTTGGCTGGCTGTCTGATTGCAGAGAGACAGCTGCCCATTCATCGCCATTTTATCTGTACTGCCAGAGTATGAGGTCATCTGTTTCTGATCATATCAGCGGCTTCATGCTCACTGTCATTCAAATCTCCTTTGTCTAACAGATTTGTTCTGCTTGTACTCAGTGGCTATTTTTGGGGCTAAAATCACAGAAGTGGAACTGAATAGTTTTTCAAATGTTGAAAATTCAATCACACCGTAAGGCTCAGATCAGTCATTATGTGCATGTTTCAGTTCCTATGTTCTAATTAAACAACACATAACCTACTATAGCATTTTTGTGCATGTAGAAGTTCATATTTCCCAACAATCCTAAAACATGTAACACAATGAGAAAACTATCTATGTGGTCAAGAGACATATGTAAAGTCCTGATGTATGTCACTGCTAAACCTTTAGTGCTGCATTGCTAAACCTTTGTGGCATTGATATGGACAGACAGAGACAAGCAGAGATTTGCAAGGGGAGACTGAAACCTGTAGGTGTCAGTGTTAGACCGTGCACACTCAACTTTCATAACCTTGAAAAGCTGGCTGTCCTGCTTCCTCTATAAAGCATTTTTGTGAGGTTTGAGAGAGGTTGCATTTGCATCTTGCTCAATGTGTTGCTCGCAGTTGCAAGGCGAAACGTGCTTATAGTGGTACAGAAATGTATCTATCACCAATGAGAAGTTGTTCCTTCCTAACCTTTTATTAGGATACTTAATTTAATTACATTTTATTAATGTAGCACAAAAATCATAACAGCAGTCGCCTCGTGGTGTTTTAGACTGTAAGGTAACCAAGAGAAAAGCCCAACAATCGAAGAGCCCCTAATGATAATGATAATGGTTATGAATAGTAACAGTAAAATAATATTCTAATCTCCACAATCCCTTTTAAGTAAGTGGTTTGGGAAAGGTGGGAAGGAAAAACTTCCTTCGAACAGGAAGAAACATATGGCCGAAACAGGCACAGAGGCTTCCATCTGGCCAATTTGGGGTGAGGGGAGGAAGACAGAACAAAAGACACACAATATTATATTGTGTTTCTATTAGTCGAAAATCTGAACATTAGAAATGAGCTGCTACGTAATTACTTTAAAAGCAAAAAGACAGGATCATTGAAATAAGTGCACTGTGGAGTTTGGCTTTCAGTCTCTCCGTGTCTCTCGAACAAGTAGTTACTCTTGTAAACTATACGTCATTCTTTGTCTTTGTGGGCCTGCCCTGACTTTGAACACAACGCAATTAATAACACATGCTTAGAATTAAACTGTTTAACATATGGGAGACCACGCAGCCTCCAGCATGAAGTCATCAGTAAGAAAAATGTGTTTGTATGCGTTCCTTCAAACATGCACAGAACGACTGCATTCTGTTGATGCATGCACTCAATTTTCCCCACTGGTCGGGTTAAGTGTGTCCTGTCTTCAAGATGCATTGCGGCAATGCCTTTGTGTGTGGACGTGTTTGCAGCCAATGTAATGCCCGTGTGGTTGTCATTGATGTGTAGGCGGTATCGTCAGTCTGTGTCTTTATTGCTCTAATGGTGTGGGGTTTGCCAGTACCACTCCAGGGCCCATTGATTTATGGGTAGGATTGTCTCTGGAAGCACTGCAATGGTTTGGCAAGTAATAGAAGGTCTTTGGGTTATGTACATGATTTAGCAAAGAGGTGCTTTAGCTTCAAATGACATCCATTTTTTTTAACTTATCTGGTAATGTAATTAGAAATCTTTTTTTTTCTTCACACTGCGCAGAACTTTTGATATCGATCTGAGCTCGTGCTGATGAATCTTACTCGATGTGACTCTTCGAGCCTGCATAAACATAGAAACTGATGTGTTGACTGCTCTGCTTTTATTTATCTGCTGTTGGTTTACTTAAAGTTCACGGTCTAACAGCAAGCGCAGCAAATGAAAGCTTTTTTGTGTCACATTGTATCCCGTCTGTAACACGTGGAGATTTCTTTAGGAAGTGAATTCACTCTTTGTTTTCTTATTACAAGTTTATATGAAAATAATGCTTTAAAGGGTTAGGGTCATCTGATTCGATATATTGTGAATGAACTGGCCTGAAAGCACTGTTTTTGTTCTCTTTCTCTTTATATAATTCTCCTTAAAGACAGAGATCTGTCTAAAAATGAAAAAACAAAACAAAAAACAACCTAGGGTAGGCTTTTTTAATAATGTATGAGGCACTTTTATTGTGACAGTTTTGAATTGTTGAGATAAAAACTCTACACAGTCCTTATCTTTGCCATTAATCCTTCACCTGACAAGCTGAAAGTGAGAAGCAGAAGGCTGTAAGTGCTTACTGAAGACTCCCACCAACCCATTTGTTATACTCCTTCAGTTCTAATGAAAAAGGATGCATATCACTTTTCTTGTCTCCAACCACAGACGCAGTACGCAGCCCAAATCAGACAAATCCTTCTTCAGACAAAGCAGTTAAACCCTCTGACACGTGTCTGACACTTTGCAAAAAAAAAAAAAAAAGACAGTTTGTTTTTAACGTAAGGATCAGTCACACGTTTCTGTAGTGATTCCCCAAGAGCTCTCCATTATACCATCCCCCTTTCTCTTCTCCATTCTTGTCTGGTCAGTATCTGGTTTCCATCTTCATTTTCCCATCCTCCCTATTTTTCTTTAATAAATGTTTAAATACGTCCCTGCAGCTTCAGTGTAATTACTGAGCAGCCGCAGCTCAGGTCCTTTGGGAAGCAGAGGGGAGAGAGAAAGAGGGGGAGAAAAAAATGCTGAAAGAGGATGAGAGAGCTGTTCGTGCTGAATGGCGGAGTAAAGGATAGAGAGGGCCTTGCAGAAGGGCGAAAATATTAGCTAGGTAAATGGAGGGATTTTATTTCACAGAATGAGAACGTTTGCTGACAGCTTGTCCTTCAGCATGTCCTTGCTTAAGTCTGTTCAGTGTGCGTGCATGCATTTGTGCATATATATTCCACGCCTGCCAATCCATCTGTCTTTCTGAAAGACAGAGCTTGCACAAGCTTGGAAAAAGGATCATTTAAGCCTTTTTTTCTGTACATGGTGGTGTGCTTTCATAGTAACCTCACGTCCTGTTTAATTATTCAAGGTAAAAATGGCAAACAAACCCCTCCTCTTTTCTTCAACTCCATATTCGGTCAGGAGTATTGCTGTCAATAGTGATGACAGGTCCTTCAATAAGGTCCTTAGAGATGTCTTGAGAGAATATTATTATATTCAATGTTATTTTCAACGCAATTATATTCATCATAACAAAACAAAAATGCATTGGCAGGCAACTACGTTGTTGATAAGTTTATGTAAAATGATGTTTTATACTGATGGCCCAACTTGAAAATAATTTGTGTTTGCAGTAAAGCTGCAAAAAACAATATTCACAGTGAGCGGATGTCACACGAGGGCATCGGCATCTTAAACCAAGATACACAAATGTTAAACCAGCCACTCTCTGTTGCTGTTTTTGCTGTTTTTGAATGGAGTGGCGCTAACACGGTGAAGCAGAAAGCCGAAGAGAGCAGAAGAGACACAAATATTGAGCTGAAATTAAATAAATTGAATGAAATTAAAAGGAGGATTTGTTCATTATCTGCAAACGCTGCCCTGCAATTACTCCAGCTTCTCCTCACGTCGCAAATCAAAATCTCCTTTGAAGGGCCCTAATTTACGGACATATACACACTTTCAAAAACAGCTCAGCTCTGGCAAAAACGTCACATGGCAAGCTTCATTTTTTTTCCAATCAAGCTGTCACTACTGTGTTCAGGCTTCATTCTTTTTACTAGAACTGGTACAGTACTCACAAACATTTCAGTGTCGAGTGTTCCCTAAGAAAAAAGGGAGGCCAGTTTGCGCCACTTGTCCTTCTTAAGTTCAGTCCTCAGCCTTTCACATCACCAGCGTAGACATTATATAGTGAGACAGCTAAGTAATTGCCATCAAACTTTCCTGCCTGCTCCTCTTTCTCTCAGCAGCAGGGATGGGAGGGGTACAGTACAGTAGCAGCAGAAAATGTGAACTGCGTTCTCTCTGAGCACAGACCAGTAGCAGGGAGGCACGGCTATCGTAGTCCACTACCAGAGAGGATGGAGAATGAAGGGATCTATTTCTTTCTATTCTGGATAGATGGCTTCCCGAAGAGTGGATGATCGGGTATCAGATTACAACAAGACTTACTGGCAACAAGTGATCAGCCTCAGCCTTGGTGGATGAAATCTTCAGCACCGACTCAACAGGAGGAAAACATTACTGAGCTGTGCTCTTTGTGTGATTCTGGACATGAAATCGTTGCATGTCTTGAGCATGCCAGCAGGGTTCGATTAGATTTGAGTTAAATGTAAAGCTCAAGTGTAATATCTTAAGTTGAAACAGGTATCTTTTAATTGATCCACTGTGGAAGCTTACTGTTATGGCAGGGCCTAGACCTAATGGCTCGCTTGGCAACAATACCTTGGTGGTACTTTGTGGTGAATTTGAATGAAGATGCTTGCAGAGGGTACTCTAAAAAAACACCTTGACCACACTTTCAGTGTGTCTGTATATCGTTGTAAGACTTGAACAGGGTGTAATATTGAATATCAGTGACTGACATCTAAGGACAGAAACACAATGTTTATGTCTGTGTGGTACGCCAAAAAGATGGGCTGCCGATTCCTCAACAATGTACGGAAGGGCAAGAAACGTCGGCATCGTAAAATGGTAGGCATGTTTTAAACATGTTTACTTCATGTTTGCTTGTTTGTATGACTCCACCTCAGCATAGTTGCACAGATTTTAATGAAAATGTCACCGGCACAGAATATTACATTAGTGTGTTTTGTTATTTAAATATTTTAAAGTATGTGCATTGTGTTATTGTGTGATTTAAAAGGCACCAGGATTTTTTTTTTACTTTTCAAATTGCTGCCATTAAAGCTCATAATAGACATTTTAATCACAGTGAGCTGGAGTAATCAGATCTGCTAATACTAATCAAGTCCTGCTCAGGCCGTGTGTGAGTAGTGATGCAAATTTGCAGAGTCCTGCTTGAATTGTAAATGCATTAGTGTCCGTTTGCTGATGGATGGCGGTGCTGCCTATAGAGCCATGCCAGGGATGGCTGAATAGGTGGTGTTAAAATATAGGTGGGCAAGAGCAGCCAAACACTGTAAATCCTAACCGCCCTGATGTCGAAAGACTTGACAGAGCGGAGAGACAGAAAGAGAGCTCTGTCAAAATCCCTGCAGGGAAATTGCCTGCACTAGGCTTAGATTTCTGCTAGCTATACTCATTATTTCTCTCTCCAGATAAGGATGAATTTGACGTAATGTTCAGTAGCACCGCTGGATGCGGCTACCGTGCGTGATGAAGCCGTGCACAGGCGATGCTGCAATCAGACAGTGAGCAGTTGAAACACTCGTCAGAAGAGAGATTTGTGTCTTTTCTTTAGGAGGACTGACGTTTTGTGAAATTGCCAGAGTCGTCGGGCAATTCCACACATCCAGCATGTTTAGAAGGAGCAGGCTTCACTGAACTTTTTGGCTCCTCAGATATAAATAATGTTGTTAATGAAATAATTTTGCTGTGCCAGGATGTTGTTATAGTGCGTGCTAGCTCTGGGACACAGAGTGAAACAAAGGCTTCATTAATGTCATTAGTTACCCCTGCACTTTTCCTGCTGCGCCGTGGAATGCCTAATGAAACTGAACCATTATAAACAAAATGTAAATTATCTGCATTTCCTGCTGTGATCAGTCAAAATGCATGTTGTTAAAAGTCTGCTGAAAAGCTGCTGCACTGCTATAATGTATTTCTACAGTGTATCACATCCAGATGTTGTTTTCAGAGAAAATATGAATAAGCGGATAACACTTCTTCCTCTGGCTCAGCTTGAACGTCTTAGAGAGTGTAAACAAATAACTTCCCTTTGCATCCCATAAAGATCACTGGCTAGGATTATGAAGCCGTTTTATTGAAAGCGCATGTGTTTGGATTGGCCGCGTAGCTGTTTGTGTGTGTCAGAGCTGTCAGGTCTGTGAAGGTCAGCAGGCTGATTTTGTGCTGCTGTTTGCTTTTCTGTAAGCACTTTTGGATGCACAGTGTCTTCCCCATGCTAATCAGCGTGCGCTAAAGAACAGTAACAAAAAAAAAATGAACAATGGAGTTTGCACAGGGAGTCGGTCAACAGTGTATTTGCATTTTAGAGCGACAGATAGACTGAAGATGTGAGTGAATCCCAGAAAGCATGATGAAAGAACGAGAGTACAGTGTTGATGTCTGCTGTGGCGAGCTGGTGGTGTATGAATGAAACTGAAGTGAAATAAAAGAGCGTGGATAAACTGTGACACTTCAGGTGAGCTGGAAGAAAATTCTTGGCAGGTAAATCCAACCCACGTCCACGCCAAAAATCCTGTCCACCCACTGATTTTCTGCTTTTTGTGCTATTTTCTGCATCACTTTGATCCTGATGGATAACTTGTTGAAATGCTGTGGTTTAATCTGGCTCTGTGAGCTTTGCTGCAGTATGGTTTTGGACAGAATCGCCGACCGTTAAGCATTATACTAAATGGGCTAATCATGCTGTGTGTCATTGTCATTATACCAGTTTACCGTGTCTTCATCATCCTCCGACTCTCCACAGAAATTGCCATATGTACGAAATACTGAGATGTTTGTTTTGAAACGATGGGCAGGAACATATCCGCAATATCCATGAGATGACCACTTAGTGCATCAGGTCTGTAATTTGACTAGCAGCTAGAGCAAAAATAAAACCATGGCCATGAGTATAAGGGCCTGCGTGAATTATTTCTGTGTCCATCATGGATGGATGATAACGAATGGTTTAGGAGCAGTGCTCTCCATCCTTTAGCAGAGTGATAACCAAAGCATAGTGAGAGCAGTGTCATCACAGCTTACAGCTAAAATGGTCATCAGTCTTGGCTGCGACTGCAGGTTTCAAGGGTACACTGAGAGCTCAGCCGAGACTTGCCTCACATTTGAATTTCTGCCATTATTTCTTAATAATGTTTCCTTTCTCTCTGCCTCCAGGGAAACACTCCTCCAGTGGTCGTGAACACTGACACACTCGATGGCTCCCCATATGTAAGGATTATGTTTAATCTTCCCTTTATTGTATTATTACGTTAGGCTTAACCACATGGCTAACTTAACTGCCTTCATATTCATTGTACATTATCAGTTCAATTCCACTCCTTTCCCACCCTGCAGGTAGGGCTTTGCACACTGTTTTAATCTGCACGGTAACAGTGATGAATTTTCCCTCCGTTTTAATTAAATTAGCTTTCTTTGTTTGATATACATTTGGCAGAATAGAAATATTTCTTAATTTGCTTCAGAGTTCTGAAATGGTGTCATATCTGTAAGGAAAAGCAGTGACCGTATCATCACGAGTTGTGTAGAGAATGAGGAAATGCCTGCAATCACAGAGCAGCAGCAGCAGCAGCATTTTTTGCACCACTACGGCATGAAGAGAAGTTGTTTTCTAGGTCAGACACCAAAACACTGAAGACTGAAGTTACTTAAATCTCCTCGTCCTCTTGAACTGTAATTGGAAAGGTAAAGCTGACGTGGAGCCAAGTTGTTCATCCAGAAGGAAGGATGGGACTGAAAGAACAGTGCGGCAGTCAATAGTGCACATATGATGATCCAGTCCACGGGACTAATGCTAGAGATAAAAATTTAGCTGACTGGTTGTGACAAAAATAGTCTACAGGGACACCACCCTTAAACTGATGTCTTCTTGACAGGTGAATGGGACAGAAGGTGAAATCGAGTATGAGGAAATCACACTGGAGAGAGTGAGTGTCATGATGTGATCTTTTAAACCTCATTACACATTTACAGTCTAGTTTAGCTTTTTATGGATGCATGAATGTAAAAGTGCTGTGAGTGATATATCTATAAATGCCACTCCAGTCATTCAAAGACATGGAAACAGGAAAACCTTCAGATGACAAAGTGAAAAACTAAGTACAACCTCACTGCTTCAATTGGGATTTAAGAATTAAGTAGCAGCAAGGTGCTGCTAATCAAATGCACTTGAATAAGTGATTTTCAACAAGTAAAAGCACAGGTTTTGACAGTTTGCTGGTCTGGGGCACTCAGGTGTGTGATAACAGAGTGCAGTAATTTTCCCAAGGTCAGATTGTGCAATGCTCAGAGAAATTTCCAAAAATCCACGAGTTAAATGTTAGGTTGATGACGGTACAGTTATAAAAAGACTTAACAAGTATGGCATGTTTGGAAAAGTTGCCAGGAGAAATCCTCTTCTCTCTAAAAAGAACATGGCAACACAGCTTTGTAAAGTTTTATGTAAACAAACCAAAGTGGAAAGTTTTGGCCCAAACCAAACACAGCATATCAGCGCCCAACACCTCATGCCAACTGTCAAGCACTGGCTTGTTTTAGAGCCACAAGACCCAGGCACCTCAATGTCATTGAGTCAAACATAAACTCCACTGTTTACTAAAGTAATCTAGAGTCAAACGTGAGCTAAAGCCCAAACGGATCAGGAAACAGAACAGTGACCCCAAGCACAGCAGCAAATCTACAACAGAATGGCTCAAAAAGAGCAAAAGAAGGTATTTTAACGTCACAGTCAAAATACAGACATCAGCCTTATTAAAATGCTGTTGCAAGAGCTCAATAGAGCTGTGTTTTTTGTTTTTTCACAGGACTGCATGCAGTCACAGGAAAACGTTCTCTTGCACATGAATGTAGATAACTGTGTGTTTTGTTTGCATTGAATTGCAGGGTAACTCAGGCCTGGGCTTTAGCATAGCAGGGGGAACAGACAACCCTCACGTGGGCGATGACCCCAGCATCTTCATCACCAAAATCATACCTGGAGGAGCTGCTGCTCAGGATGGACGGCTGAGGTAAAAGCGCACACAGCGAGCTCCAATAAACACAAATCCAGTCTGTACGCACATACATTCCAAAACCCAAGACAAGAGAAGTGGATGCTTAAGCAAAGCCTCCCGTCTTCTTTTTTAAGTGCAAAGTAATGTAACACAGTACTGTACATAACTCGTTGCTCGTTCAGTCTGCTCAGCTTCAGAGCTACATGTAAGAGCATCTGTCTGTTTAATTTAAGAAAGGCATGCCTCAGCCTAGCTAAGAGTTTGTATTTTCTTCCCCGACATGTTTAAAGGTCTTTTTGCATTTTGATGCCATGTTTAAAAGAAGTAAAGTAGGGCTTAAATATGTTGTATATGAGAAATGAGGTCCCACTTTAAACTCACGATATGGAAAAGCACGTTTAAAATGTGGTTTGTGTGTCAAGGTTAGTGCCATAAATCTCCACACTCTCACTTAATGGACAAAACATGTAGCGGCAAGCTGCAACATATTTTTGGAAGAAAAGAACTGTTCTCGCCTAAATTTCAATGAAAAAAGATGGAATCCTAACCATGCTTGTTGCAAGAATATGTAATAATATGCATGTTTTGCCACTTTCATAAGAGGATGTAGTACAGAGTTTGCCTTTCTGTGGGAAAAAAACAACACTTAGGATCCATTTCTGTGACTGTGCTTTAACACAGACGCATCATTTTCTTTACACTTGACCTATAAACCTCCATCTGGAATGATGAGTTTGAAGAAGACCTAATGAAAATGCTCATATTTGCTTGAATGCAAGTATTTTTTTTTGTCCTTGGCCTTTAATTGAGCTACTATCTGCTTATTTTAACGTGGTTGTTAAAAGGTTCTTCCATCAAAGTAACCGATTTATTTATTTTTCGCAGTTAAATGACGGTTATTTGGAATATTTAGTCCCCTACACATACACATGTTTAATAAAGGTTGTGCTCAAATCAACACAGTGCATCAATAAATATATACGGATGCTCTGTGGAGGCTGAAAAAAACATTGCATGATAAAAATGTTTTCAATCTTTCCTACATGCAGCCTTGCAGATAATATGCAGCTCGGATGATGTAACATCATTTGCATGAAGATGTCAGCTGTGATTGGGTCCCTTTGGATTTGACTATAGTGATGTATTTCAGTGGTTAAAGCTCCGGCAGCCTGCAAGAATAATTTCAGTCCTATTTACGCATCATCATTTTCATGGCCATAAAATACATTTTGAATACATGAATGGAATCACGAAAACACGGCCCTGGAGGGGGAAAAAAATGTGTGTGTCTGAAAATAGCAATTTCATCGCTGAAAATCAGCTTCTCCTATACACACAGGCTGTCACTTTCGCTTTACCTATCAAGTCGTCATCATTTTTTATGAGCGGTTAACACAAAGAAGCTATACTGCAGCTTTCCCCCGGTGCTAAATCAATAGAGCAAGAGATTATACCCTCTTTAATCTTAGTCACTGAGAAGTGGAGAAAAAAAAGGCTGCAGTGAAACTGGATCCCCAGCGCGGCTGTAGCTGGAGATTGACTGTTCCTGACCTCGTCTGGTGGAGGATTACACCCAAACTTCTTCACCAAAACAAAAACTCATGCGGTATTTTTTCCTCTCGCGCCCACAGTCTCTCTCCGTCTCTCTCCGTTTCTTAGTGTGAACGACTGCATCCTATTTGTGAATGATGTGGACGTGAGGGAGGTGACACATAGCCAAGCTGTGGAGGCTCTTAAGGAGGCAGGTGCTATCGTCCGCCTCTACGTTCTCCGCAGAAAACCAGCAGCGGAAAAAGTCACTGAAATCAAGCTCATCAAAGGGCCTAAAGGTATGTGCAAGCGAGGACTGGTGCAAAGCATCAAGGCTTTTGCGTGGGCTTACGGATGCTAAGCTGTGCCCTCTGGATTTAGCAAATCTACTCTGTGTTAACCTGCACCTCCTTTGCTCACGCTCTGCTCCCCCTTTTCTCAGGATTAGGTTTCAGCATTGCTGGAGGGGTGGGGAACCAGCACATACCAGGAGATAACAGCATCTATGTCACTAAGATCATTGAAGGCGGAGCAGCTCATAAAGATGGGCGTCTGCAGATTGGGGACAAGATCTTAGCGGTCAGTCACTCACATATAATAGCTTCCAGCATGCAGGGACATGTGTCCTCATATATGGACTCGTGCTCACCCGTATGCACACTCACACATTGCGCATATATGAGGCACTGACGTATCAAGAGCCAAGATAAATTACAGCTCTCAGTTTTCATGGTTTAACATTACAACCATTAATATGTTAACAGATGTGTAGGATGGAGTGAGCCTTAACTACAACAATGCCAGAGTGATTTCTAAGCAGCATTACTGCCACCTGCTGGGGAACACACGGCTCAACACCACCAGTTTCAAAATGGTGCTGTTCCCACTAAATGGTGTCTGAGCCGTTGCTTTAACTCAGAATGGGATGTGGCAGCATCCTTTTGTTCCCTGTGAATTTGTTAAAAAATGCATTATGTGTTCTCTCTGTAACCTACAGTTAACACCACGCAGCCACAGTTTCTTTGATTTAACTCTCAATCAGCTGGAACTTGTCATTCCAACTATTTCTCTCCCTGCATTTCCCGTCCACTTTAAAGGTGTCTAAACCAATTTGAGTTTAGCGATTTATACTCTAATTTCTGCATCAGGGGTGTCAAACATGAGGTCAGTGAGCCAGAACCAGCCCTCCACAGGGTCCCATCTGGAACGCTTTGCTAAGTGTGACTGATGCGATTTTTCCACATTTGACAAAGCGTTTGGTTATACTAACAGTAGACTGACTGAATGTGGAGGATATTGTTTTTCTTAAGATATATATGCATTTAAACAAATTCTGTTTTATTTATATAGTGCCAAATCACAACAACAGTCTCCCTGAGGCACTTTACATTGTAAGTTAAAGGCCCAGAAATAGTAGAAGAAAGACCCCAACAATCAGACTACCCTATGTTGCCCCAAGTACGTGGCAACAGTGGGAAGGAAAAACCCCTTTTTAACAGGAAGAAACCTCTAGCAAAACCAGGCTTAGGGATGGACAGCGATCCACCTAGACCAGCTGAGGGTGAGAGGACCTCAAAAGGTTCAGACTCCTGGATGCTTCATAAAATATGAACATTTTCCAAATGTATCTTGTACCTTATTACATTAAAAAACAGGGAGAATTTTAGATGTGTTAGGAAGTGGTTTTACTGGCCTGGACACTTGACACTTGATATCTCATGGGGCTGAATATAGCCCATGGATGGAAATGAATGTGACTCCCGCTTTTAGACAAAGAGAGATTCTCTCATGGAGCAACTTCGCTTAGCGTATTATTCAAACTGGTCTGTGTTACAATAAATCACTTAAAACTTATTGTTCTACCATTAAAAATTAATGTTATTAACATCTTTCCCTAACATGTATTAACTTTCCACAGACTAAACTGTAATTTTGCTTTCATTACTGGAATCTAGCTGCTAAATGTCTCTGTTAAATCTAATCCGTGAGTGCTGCTGGAACACACATAATGAAGTCACAGGGGTGACAGCCTTCTTATTTGCACTTTGTTACCTTACCTGTGTTTCCTTGCTTGTTGCGAACAATCAGGTGAACAACGTGTGTCTGGAGGATGTGATGCACGAGGATGCGGTGGGGGCTCTGAAGAACACAGCCGAGGTGGTGTACCTCAGGGTGGCCAAGCCCAACAACCTGTTCCTGACCAACTCGTACAACCCTCCTGACCTCACCAGCAGTAAGCCTCCATCCTTCTGCCCAAATTTCCTCACCCCGTATTAAAGAGAACTTTGAGCTATTAAAAACAAGACCTGCTGTTTTTGTGTTTGGAACAGCTGTCAAAAATAGAACAGAGGGAGAAAAAGTCTTATTAAGTGCTAGAGATGACTGTGGGATTTCTATGAATAGTAAAAGCTCAGTTCAGAACCAGTTTCTACCAGTTTTCTCTACAAAGTGAGAGCTGTGGTGGGCCCTGAGAGGTCACACACACAGAAAAAAATGCTGTAAAAGCACACGAAACACAATGAAAAGTGAATAAAACACAACAGAAATACAAATTTCACCAGAAAAAAGTTTCACAAAACACACCAGATGTGATTTTGGGAGACAAAAACTTAATGGAACAGCAAGCTAACAGTAAACGTCTAATAGCAAACATGTATGTACAGTATTAAAACACATTACTTTCACCTTTTCTCTTGTACTACACTGATGAATCCTCTGTTTATTTTGAGCGTGTCTCAGTGCATGTTTTGGTTTCTGTCACTTTTGTCTTGTTATTTTTCCCCCCAAAACACAGATTTGTTTTCCGCTACTCCCGTAGTGTTTCCTTTTCTATTTTTCTGGTGTTTTCTTAAGTTGCAGTGCAACCTGTGACCTGAAACCAAGAAAAAAGTGCATGAAAATTGAAGTACAATAAAATCCATGTGCTTGGTATGTTACACCTCATTTGGTTTTGTGCTTATTTTTCCAGCATATTCCCATATGGATACTGAACTTAGCCACCCAAACTATCTCGGATCTGATTACCCGCAAGCCCTCACTCCCACCTCACCGAGTCGGTTTTCTCCTGTTCTACATGGCATGATGGGAGATGATGATATTCCCAGGTGAGCAATGATCCTTGAACTGCAGTTTTATCTTGTTTATTTATTATTATTATGGGGGCATTTTAGCCCTATAAAACTTATTTTGTCTCCTTCATCGCTTTTTCAGAGAGCCTCGTCGAGTTTTGATCCACCGAGGCTCCACAGGTTTGGGATTTAACATCGTCGGAGGAGAGGACGGCGAGGGGATCTTTATCTCCTTCATCCTGGCAGGCGGTCCAGCTGATCTCAGCGGAGAGCTGCACAAAGGGGATCAGATCCTCAGTGTAATGACAGTTTTCTTCAAGTAATCATGTAGTCATGTAATCCTTAGCAGCACTGGGTCGTCAGGTGTTAACAGTCATGGTGTGTGTGTGACAGGTAAACGGCGTGGACCTGCGTATGGCCACGCACGAACAGGCAGCTGCAGCACTGAAGAACGCTGGCCAGACAGTTACCATCATCGCGCAGTACCGACCCGATGGTAAAACCACTGAGAGACCTTCTCACAAAGAACTTTATATGTTGCAAAACTTGTTTGAGCAATGAGTCTAAAAATTGGCCTTTAAAATAAGCTTCAAAATCTCTTTTCGAAGAAAATGACTAAATGCAATGGTAGGACTAGTTTTTTAAATAAGGTGGAAATGTAGGCGATGGGCAAAGAACAAAACAATGACTTAGTAATTTCTCATTTAGATTCTTTTTGAAACAAAGAGATCAAACATCTGCAGCTAAATCCATTTATCCACACTTCAGCCACTGAAGGACTAGACATGGAAAAGAGAAAGATCTTTATTATTATTGAAGTAAACATTTTAGGTGTCTGCGAGTAAAATATGGAATCTTATATGTTTGTGTTTCTCTGTTGCAGAGTACAGTCGTTTTGAGGCTAAGATCCATGACTTGAGGGAACAGCTGATGAACAGCAGCATGGGCTCTGGGACGACAACCCTAAGGAGTAATCCAAAGAGAGGCTTCTACATCAGGTCTCACACTAAAAGCAGAAAAACTACCTTTGATATTAGCCTTATAGGATGAGATCAAAGTGGCTCGAGGATACGGTTTTTGGGTTAATGCATCGTTTGACTGCAGCATAGCAGAAATCCACAGCTTTTTATCAATAATAAGAGAGGTTATATTGCAGCATATATCGTATGGATGTTTCAAATACTTCAAATAATGCAGATTTAGTTCAATTGAATGTTGTTTAAAGTATTTTGAGTCAGAGAGCTAAAAATCTACCTGCACAAAACCGAAAATATGTCAAGCATATTTAACTAAAGAAAATGTCATTACTTGAACTCAGCCGTCCTTCCACTTGAACGCCATTATGCTGCCAACTGTGTCTGCTACAAAGAAACATTTGCAAAGCCTCGTTCAGTTGAAGTGTTGAGTTTTGAAAGTCAGAATAGGATCTTTAGCCGCAGGAGTAGAAGTAGAATCGTTATCAAAGGCAATGTATAGTCCGGCTTCAAAGGCACACAATATGAAGTAAGAATAGAGAAATAAAATGACAAGGCGACATACAAATATCACAAAAACTACAAGCCTTAAGAGGAAGAAGGAAAGAAGAGGAAAAATGTAAAGTATCTGTCTGCAAATATGTCTCAGTCAACAGCATTAGAGTGTTTATTATTGTTTCCTGGGCCTTTATATGCATTTAGCTACCATTTGATGTATTCACCGCCAATATTAGATTTACAGGGAGTACCAGCAGGGCACCATTGCATTACTGTGTTTACTGTGTATACAACAGACTCACGTGTTTACTGAAGGTAATCATTTAGAGCAGTCAACACAACGTTACTGAAACGCTCTTTATTTTCTGCGCAGTTAAATAAAAATGTCACGATTAATCCATGGAAACTAAGCTCTACAGCCACACAGCAACCAACCCACATTGAATTTACTCGGAAATGTTCCATTTAAATATTTGCACCAACCAACTTATTAACTATGTTTATTTAAGACAAACTAAAGAGTACTTGTAGTGCAAATTATCTTCAAAATCACTGCAGGTTGCAGAAATACTTTAAGCCAAAAACCAACAAGCAAACATCCAAACACCACATCACATCACACTGCACAGAATACACACTGGTCTTTATAAGAAGTGTGGGTGAGAGGACTAGTCGCTGGTATTCAAGGTATGCTTTGCTCGACAGAAAAAAAAATCCTGGAAAGAGAAGCAGTTCAAGGTTGCATTTCACACAGTGTGTTATACGTCCACTGGCACATGGAAAGCAGACGCTGTCAGTCATGCTTTTAAAGCTCATAATTAGGCTAAATCCAATATTTCGTACAAATTCTTCTTTTCTGAATAACGGAAGTCGTGCGGGGCACTCAGTGCTAGCCGCAGGTGGCTAAAAACAATTGTTTTTAAAAATGCCAGTATAGCAGCGTACCCCCAATGTTTTATTCCTATCCGCTTTGTCTTTATGAAAATGTCAAGCATGTTTCTGGTCCTCTCTCTCCATTTAGTCAGCACACTTGTTAAAATTCAAAAATTCTTTTTTTAGCACACATCTCTTACAATGTAACGTTTCCAACTGTACGGATGTTTCTGTTATCACGATGCATATTAAAATATACTAAAAGTGCAGTTTTTGGAATATCAGTGGCTTTTTAAAAAATATATATTTAAAGGCTTTTTATGAAATGCCTCATTGAAATCCTCTTTTTCCTTCCAGGGCTCTTTTTGACTATGATAAAACTGCCGACTGTGGCTTTCTCAGTCAAGCACTTGGGTTCAAGTTTGGAGACGTGCTGCACGTGTTGGACTGCGGAGATGAAGAGTGGTGGCAGGCCCGTAAGGTCAGCCCGCAGAATGAGGCTGAAGAGGTTGGCTTCATCCCCAGCAAGCACAGGTCAGACACTTTATATGAAGCAAACTTACTGAAATGTAGAGTAAAGCGCTGCGGCTCGGTGCTAATGACAGGTTGTCTCACCTTTGTCACACATTTTTCTTCCTTACAGGGTGGAAAGAAAAGAGTGGTCTCGTGTTAACACCAAAGAGAGGGTACGTTTGTTCATTATAGCTTTCTGAAGGAGGGGAGTTCATTCAAAATGTGTCCTGATCGGTAAATATCTGCTCTTGTCTCTGTTACAGGACCTTGGTCGGGACAGCTTGAGCACACAAGGTAATTCGGTGGATTCTCTTTTGCATCCATTAAGAGATTAGTAATATGCATTAAAGGTGCAAGTAGCTGGAACTAAAACAAATGTGTGAACAAAGCAGTGTCATCATCACCTTTGCTCTACTCTTGGCATTGCTGATATCTCTAAATGCCACTATTATTTGAGCAGATTATTGACTGCCAGATATGAATCTAAGACTTCTCCTTCAGTATTTCCCAGAAGGCTATAATCCAAAGCACACATTACGTCAAAACAGTCATGCCTTTAACACCTTGCCAATAATGATATCTCATACATTTGCTGCCACCTTTGAAGATACATCATCTGCCCTGCATATAAGTACAAACCGATGCAAACGTGTCATTTGTAAGAAGGCAAAAAGAAACCGAACGCTTCTGTGTTCTCTCACCAGGGAGAGATAAAGCCTCACACAGTTATGAGACAGTTACCCAAGTGGAAGGTAAGGTGAAGTCTGCTCTTTCAGGCTTTTATATGAATGTTCATTGTTTTGATTTTCTCTTTTGTGAATGATCCCGCTCTCTCTTTATCCTTTCATTCTCTTTATGATAAGTACATTATGCAAGGCCCATCATCATTCTGGGTCCTGTGAAGGACAGGATAAATGATGACCTGTTGTCTGAGTTCCCCGATAAGTTTGGATCTTGTGTCCCACGTAAGTAATTACGCTGTCAGTCTCGGAGACAGATGTGTTCGCCAGTTTTCACTTGCTGCCACCGCTGCACAATGCGACAATATTAAAGCGATGTGTGCGCAGTGCATCAAGCAGAGGTGATGCTGAGATTCAAAATGAGGTGCGCTTTCTGTTCTTCGTTTGACAGACACCACGCGGCCCAAGAGGGAGTATGAGGTGGACGGGCGAGACTATCACTTTGTGTCCTCCAGGGAACAGATGGAGAAGGACATCCAGAGCCATCGGTTCATTGAGGCCGGACAGTACAACAGTCACCTGTACGGCACGAGTGTCCAGAGTGTCCGTGAGGTGGCTGAGCAGGTGTGCAGCAGCGTGTTGGATAATGGGTTTTATAAAATGGGATCATTACCTCCAGATTCATTGAGATATTGAAAAATAATGCCATAAAAACCTTTTAGTACTCAGAGTATGAAGTCAGGCACAAGGACATTACTTAAAGGAACAGTTTACCCCCAAATATATTTACATATTTTACCTCTATACCTGCTTTTTATTCATCTAAATGGGTTTGGGTTTGAGTAGATATGTGCAGACTCGACCTTCTATCATGTATAATATACTAAATAGCACTTGGGCTGTGTGGTGAAACATCAGTAGTAACGCTTCTTTCAGAAACCACAAAATCACAGTTTTTAGGAGCTTGAAGCACCACAAGGCAAATATTTAAGTCCATAGTATTCAGGTGATGGCAGATATCTCTTCAAAACTGGTCAACTGACGCAAAACACTGCAGGTACATAATACTAAAAGACATGGGGAAAAAAAACCTTACCCCTTTAAGTATGATGAATCCTTTCGCACTAAAAACACTTTGTGTTTTATAACAGCAATGCTCCGTTTAAGTAATAAGCTGCAATCTGTTGTGGCTCAATTAACCTACAATATTCATTAGTAAAATAACATTCTATTTTTGTATTTACTTATCATTTCTCTCTTGCTTGCATGCATGAGCAGCAGGGGAAACACTGCATCCTGGATGTCTCAGCCAACGCTGTGCGCAGACTACAAGCAGCTCAGCTTCACCCAATTGCCATCTTTGTGCGGCCCAAGTCGCTGGAGAATGTCCTGTATGAGCTCAAATCTTCTATATGCATTTAGAAAAAAATTTCTGACAATGATTATTCTTTACAGCTTGAAAGCAGGTGTGATTTTATATTTGTTTGATCTGATTAACAGAGAAATCAACACTCGCCTGACAGAGGAGCAGGCCAGGAAAGGAATGGACCGAGCCCTCAAACTAGAACAAGACTTCCTAGAGTGTTTTACCGGTAAGAGCATGCAGCAATCACATGTGCACGAGGTTTGGTTTGAGATTGCACTTAATTACATGGACATTTTAAATGTAAAGTCAACAAAAAAGTAAGCTTTTTTCAATGCACTGTCTATCCACTGTATTCTTAGCAGAGGGATTCACATTTAGGTTTTGGCAGAACCAGATGGAAAAACAGGATTTTATGCGTCTGTGTTTGCACTCAAATGTAGGATTACTCATAATCTATTTGATATGGGAAAAAAACATCTCTTTTATCATTACAAGATTCTAGAAACAACAGGCTGACCGTGTTTTGCTGGCGCTCGTACGCACACTTTAGAAGGTGATCAACCTTCCTCTTGTAGTCCTCGTAGATTTTTTTTGTTTAATGCCAACAAATGCCAGCGACCGGGCTCCCGTTTGTACTGGCACGACTGAACAATCTGAATAAGAAAAGGAATGCCTTTTGGGAGGACTCGGGGCATTTTAACATTTAAGCGATGCATTTAGGGCAAATCTCAGCAGTTGGCAGAATATGAATGCGAGGTTTCACAGCAAATTCAACGCTGTCTACAATTTCTAACAAATCATGAACAGTGGGGGGGTGTGACATTTCATCAAGCACTCAAAGCACGTGGGAAACTGTGTAGAACTACTTAGCTGATGTAAATGTGCCTCTTCTTTGATGTCGTACACAGATTGTAAAACTATATCCATAATTGATTATATCTTAAATTGTCATTTCCCCAGTTTCTCTTTATCCCCACGCCACCACCCAACCAATGTTTCAATTTCATCTCCTGTCTTTGCTCTTTTCTCTTAATTTCCTGCTGCCTGTGTCATTTTTTTCTTTAACCCATACCTTGTTCTATTTGTTCTTTTCTTTTCTCTCCTTCTGTCGCGCATGCTGTGTCCCGCTGCAGCTGTCGTGGAAGGGGACAGCTTTGAAGAGGTCTATCACAAAGTAAAGACAGTGATTGAGGAGCAATCAGGGCCTTACATCTGGATCCCCACTCGGGAGAGGCTGTGATGCTGCACCCGCTCGACCACCCCTCCCTCACAGCCACCGATCGACCGCCACCCTTCACCCTCACAGCCAAGCCAGCCTCGCCTGCCTGCCTGTCTGTCCTCCAGCAAAGTCAGTGCTTAGGCAATCACTGAGAATGACACAGAGAGATAAACGCATACTAAGACAAAACACAGCGACACCGCGAGGCAAAGAACGATACCAAAAAATAAAAAATAAAAAGGAGAGAGACTCTGACACAGATGTAAATGCAGCGATGTATAAAGAGACTGAGAGAAAAGACTAAACCAGTATCCCACTATAACGAAGCCGACCCAGTTCACACTTTGCATTAAAATGCATCTCGGATACACGAGTGGACAGCTCTAGATGCAGCTGTGACTGCACCCTAAACTGGGTGCTGGTGGGGGTGGGGGGGGGATGCAAATATCCAAATCACAGTTAATAACTTGTGTATATGTAATGTGTTTAACCTGTGTTTGGATACAGGTGCACTTTCCCACCAGATAGGGAGCAAATGAAGTGACTATTTCAGGCGGATTTCAGTTGCATTTTGATGCCGGGTGTGAACTGCAGCCCACGTCACCTGGAGCTCAACACAGCAGTCTAGATGTATGTGGACATGAGACATTAATTCTGAGCAGGGCTCGAAAGAAAATAAAGGATGACCTTGCAGAGATGGACCCTGAGGTGCTATCGCCTCACCTACAGAGCCATCTCGAGTCTCATGCCGACATTGAACACCTCAGTGCACCGATGTCTCAGATGGAGGTCCCCCCTCACTTTAAAAACAAACAACAAAAGACAGTGGCCACTCTTTTTATATCACCTCCTGGCTTTCTGTCCTCCTCGTCCTGCCACCTCTGCCTTGTTTCAGGACAGGAACGGGGAAGACCGAGAACAGGGGCCCAGATCCAGCTGAGTCCCACGTGACCAGGAGTCCTTTCTCAGCAAAGACCCGCTTTTTTTTTTTTTCTTTTTCTTTTTCTTTTTTCTTTTTGTGATTCTCATCTTGGTTCTGGGTGTGAACTCAGAATAACACCTCAGTGGCCAAGACTGACGTTTGTTCGGGTCACCCCATGTTGAATATTGCAAGGCATTATTTAAAGGCAGTTCAAATAATTATATTGCTAAAAACCTCATACGCTGAATTTCTGCATGCATCCTCAAAGACAACGGAGAGAGAAGAGAAAAACAAAGGAAGAAAATCATGATAATAATCTAAAGGAAGGAGAAAAAAGTGAAGGAGTTTGTTTTTTTTAGCATGTCTCAAGAAGAGAAGAGAGACATGATCATGTGATTATGTTTATGAGAGGCCAGTGCTGAGCATACTAGATGCTCTGGCGTGTAGTTTAGCCTCAACTCTCTTATGCACACAAACACACTCATGCACCCACACACACACACCCTCACTCCCTTACAGCGGCACACACACACACAACCGCACACACACAGACACACAATCATAGGGTCGTAAACTCAGCTGTAACCTAGCACACCTCTACAGGCGGATTGGCTGTTCTGACCTGCTAGTCAGCATCCAGGATGAATGTTATCTCTCTAGGCACAAACAGCAGAGCTCTTAGCTTCATCGCACCACAGCAAACTCATCGGTCATTCTTCCAAAAGATACCCCCCCTTCCCCTGCCGCAGACGTACACACCGTCTCCAGTGGTCGCAGTTAAAAGCCATGGCGTATGTGTGTGTGTAAGTGTGTGTGTCTGCGTGTGCACGGTGGTGCTCGTTCATGTGCGGGGACTCCTCTGTGTGGGAGGAATATGTCCTTTAATCCTTTCTCTCTCTTCCAGTTTTCCCTGCTTCTTTCTCCTTCTCGTGTCCACACAAATTAAAGCTAAGTCATGTTTAACAAATAAATAGCCTATATATATAAATATATATATATGCATATATATCTTTTTTATGACAATTTCTAACGGGATTAAGTCTGTAAAAAAATTAACATTTCCAAATGATATTCCATTGATTTTTTTTTTTTTTTTTTTTGGGGGGGGGGGGTAATATTGCAGTTTGGTTTTTGGATTTACACACAATCCCATTTTTCGTGTTGCAAAGCGCAGCAGAAAGCTACACACAACTAACTGAACCATTGAAGTCAACGTAAAGCAGACCTCACACTAGAACCGAGAACACGTGACGTGTTCTCGTACGCGCTGAAGACAAACTGAAACACGTGTGCAATGCAGCTGCGTGCGTCTGTGTGACTGTGTGGGTATGTGTTTGCCGCTTGTGTGCGAGAGTGGCAAGAAAGCGCGTGTCGTGTATAAAATAGAAGCGACGCTATATGAGAACATCCATCCTTATGGTTGTAATGTGTGTGTGTGTGTGTGTGAGTGAGAGAGCGAGACACGCACACGAAGATGTAGTGCAATACTGCTATGATGTTATGCAATGAAGATGGTTTTATGGGTCTAAGATTTAAACTGTATAAAGTTTGCACTGACGGCATTATATGCTACAGGTATCGGCGGGATAAAGATGGCGAGCGAAAGCAGGAGGACCCCATGTCAAGATTTTAAGAGCATGTGTTTTGTATTTACTTATGATTTGTTCTGAATTAAAAGAGTAAAGGTGGAAGTATCGATGGAAGTGACCATTCATATTTATATTTGTTTACTTTATGCTCACATGCTTCTGTTGGCTCAGTTTGGAATAGCTGAAGCTTGTGAATGACGACTATCAATTTCTGTTTGAAATATATATATATATATATATATATATATATATATATGATTTATTCAGAACTGTCACTAGTTGCATCACCTGTCTGTATATTTTTGTATTTTTTCACATTGAGAGAACTCTCGGGTCTTGGCCAGGAATGCTGTAAATATGTTGTTGGAGTGCCGTGTGGGTTTAGGTTTTAGCCGTTCACACTGCTGAATTGGTGCAAGTGCAGCATCCATCAGAGCCACAGCCCAGTTTCTAGCTGCTCAGACACAGAAACGACACACGCAAGGAGATATCAGCACGTCCACACACATGCATTTAACATTTACACATAGAGAGAACTCACGGAAACTACGACACACCGCGACACATCCATGAATTGAACAATATGTTTTGGGTTTCTTTATTTGAGGGTTCAGTGTATTTCTTAATATCTCTCTCAGCCATCCTTATCATAGTGTGATATTCCTTATAAAGTATATGAATTTTTACAGAAAAGACTGATTACAAAGTTACAACAGAGTCAGCTGATGCAGAAAAATATATTTAACAATGACAGTATCAAGCAAAATAAAATGTTCCAGTTCAGTGAAGCGCTTGTTGTAAATTAGCTATAAAATAATAAAAATTAATTTAAAAAATGCTTTCTGAAAATGGACTCAGCAGCCTTCTTTTTTTCCTTTGTTTGCTTGTTCCTGTTAATAGTTGGATTCCCACACCCACCCCAGTTCCACAGGTGAAGAAAATAACAGTCCGGCCAGGGGAGGGCACTCATTCTCCATTTACAGCTGCTTACACAAGCTCCTCTCAGATGTATTTGCACAGACTTGCTCTGGCTCTTATTTGCTGGTTGCTTCCCCACCCTGCCTTCACTCATCGGGGGAACCATTTTCTCTTTAGAAAAGCACACAATCACGAGGATCCCTTCTTTTGATCGCATGATATGCTGCAGTGCCTGGGTATGTGTAGGTAGACATTCTAGATTGTGTGTAAGGCCGCTGTGATGCTATATCCCTGTGATTGCTTAACCTCTTTGGATTAGAAACTCGCAAATGCCACATTTATTTATTACCCGAGCTCGTTCTCTTCATAAACTCTGAATTTATTTGTTATTATGCAGCCACAAATTAACTATCGCCGCTTGAAAAAACAGGCCTTTGGCAAAATAAAATAAAAATCCAGAAAGCTTTTAAGCTTACTGACTTGCCAATGGGCAGGTCATTACAAACTCCTGCTGTGCAACCAAGCAACCCACTGAACTGTTGTTGTGCTTGTGTAAATCCCATTTTCCCTAAGATATCCCAGCTTTGAGCAGAATCCAAACATATCACCTTTGTAGAGTTTAATAAGAGTTACTGAAAGAAGTTAAGGGGTTTAAATTACATTTTATCTTAAACCACGTATTCGGTTCCTGAAATACAGAACATTGTTATTCTATCTGACCCGAGCCCAGTGCCTGATGTATTATAACTACAAGTGACAAACAGAATCAGGCAGAAGGATGAGAGAACATCCATCAAAGACCATAAACAGGATTCGAGCTGACAAAACGGTGAAGTCTTACAGCCATCAGGTTACTAACATCCACATGATTCTGTTATCCTCCTATCAGTCATCATGTCTACTTCATGTACCAAGGCACGCAATCCATATACCCACAAGCTGGTGTAAGAATGCACAGTTGGACTCTCGAAGAAGCCAGATGCCTGACAGATGGATAGATGCGGGGAGAGAGAAGAGGGGGAAAAAAACAACAAAATTAAGTTGCTTACTTTAAAGTTAGAATTTGAAATTTCCTCCTAATTAAGAAACCGACTCTGTGAATAAACTCTCTCTTTAATCATTAAAGTGATTCATGGTTTGCAACCCTGATTCGCAGATGTACAAACACTCCAGTGCATGTATCCCGTCTTACTGCCAGGATCGGAGGGCGGGGAGTCGTTTTAAACAAAAAAGGGTGCTATGATTTACCAATCACTCGGACCCAAAAGCAGCAGAAAGTCAAAGGAAAAACGTCTAAAAGATTTATTGACTGAGAGATGGTGGACTGAGTAGAGGCTGAGGAGTGAGTAGTCTTTAAATGGCGAGCTGGAGAGTAATGCATTGAGCAGCGAGGGAGTGATTGAGCAGGGAGGTGGGCGAAGAGAATGGTTTGGTGGTCATCTGTCTGCAGACAAGCAGATGACAGTGAGCAGACAGGCGATTTGGCACACACAGGAGGCTCAGCGGAGGTGACCGTGCGATCTGCCTCGGAGGAGTACCGAGGGGTTGGCGTGCCGCTGAAGCTGACCGAAAGAGGACGTGCAGGTGTGGCAGCCGCAGGGACCTCGGGCAGGGAAAGGAGTGGCCATGGCCAGGGAAACGCAAACACACAGAGATACACAGAAACACCCACAGAAACAGAAGGGAGAATGCAAGAGAGACAGAAACACAGGGACCAAACCAGATTTCTGGCAGAGCCACGACAGAGGGATGAGGAATGAACGCTTCCAAATGTAATAATTAAATCATGCCAGTTATTAGAATCAAATTTCTCTCCAAATATGAAGAATGTGAAATCTGGTGGAAGGAAATTAATCGTTAGACAGTTTGATCTTATAACTCTGTGCAATGGAGCCTATAGTCATTACGAGTTGCAAGTCTGTCGCGTTCCACCGGCAATTATTCACAGCGGGCTTCAAAATGGGCCGATGAGGGAGCAGTGCCTCTTTTTACCTGTTGCCGGGTTCCAGAGCTGCAGTGACATCGCTGGATTTGGATGAAAGAACAGCTGACGTGCGAGTCCTGGAAAGAAGATTCAACTGAGAATTTTTTTTTTCCCTAGGTATTCAAAGCAACCTCCAAACCTCTGAACTTCTGTACGGGGAAACCGGTGAAGCGTTTCAGTACAACACAAGCTATCGCACAACTCAAAGCCAAAAGCCTTCAGCGGACCTGAAGGCCCCCTCCTGTGGTCTTCCTGGAACCTTTACTTTTAATCCTAACTTCAGCAGGGGTAGCCTTACGAAAACAGTGGGATATTTTCAGTAGACAGGCCCACTTTTTCTCTTCTTCTTTGTTTTTTTTTTTTACAGTTGCACGAGCTGTCAGAAAGGCATGCCTGTATTCGTCTGAACAGCTGTAACTCTTTGGTTAAGCTAATCCTCTTACATCTACATGATAATATAGCAGGCATCCAGGAGTCTTAAAAAAAATTCACCAGGAGCAGTCAGCGATAGGCTTGCTTCACCGAGATGCTTCAGTCACACAGCCAAACATACGGCTCTAACAGACGACTGTCAGTATCATTTGTTACCTTAATTACAACACGACAGCGGCAGCCTGAAGTGGAGGATCAAACGCAGAGCCATTCCTCCTCGTTCATATTTCATACCATCCCACTGTGTTTGACTGATCCCTTCTTCTCCTCGTTATGCTCTCGCACCCCCGAGGCCCCACCTGGTGCCAGCTTAGCTGTTAGTGCAGGATGACTTTGAGTTCATTGCTCAATTGTTGGTGTCTCTATTGTTTATCACGTGCCGTATTAGTAAATCTGGATGATGTCAGTTTGGATGCTTCATTGCTCTTTATCCATGTATCAGACTGTCTGCATGAAGATGAGATGATTCATCCTCAGACCGGTGATGGGCAGGGTGTGGTGCAGGATTTTTGCCATTACGATGCCACTTTACACCGGTGTGAAAACAGCTGTCATCCCAAATCCCTAGACCAAGATAATAACTCCTCCTGCAGCTAAGTCTAATGGGTTCCTTTGCTTTTCTCTGAGTCTTAAGGGCTCATTAAAAACACACACATACACACACACACACACACACACACACACACACACACAGTGCAGTCAAGACAACCATCAAAAATATTTGTATGTGTTTTTTCCCCTTGTTTCTTTTTGTGATAATGATTTGAAATGGATTGTGATTTTACTTCTCTTGAATAAAGAGGGAAAAAAAACAAACTGAATACCCATGCGCACCCAATTAAAGTGAGGAAGGGCGGTTTGTGAGAAATTTTACCTCGTGCTTGTTTAGCCGAAAAACAGCGACGTGGAAAAGATTTTCATTTTGCACCGTGAGGTTTTGCCGACCCGAAAGAACGACAGCGATTTCAGAGTACAGCCTTGTGGTGTCACTTTTACTAAGCTGCATCTGCAAAAACAGAGCTTAACCCGTGAAAGCTTATAATGTCACCTGAGCCAAATGCACACGTTTCATTTTGTAGTATCAGTGATGAGGTACGATGCCAGAATTAGGATGATGGCCCACAGAAACATGCCAGCATTTGCATTTTTAAATTTCTGCTTAATACCCCCGTTTGCCTACTGAGGAATACACAAAATATGCATGTACAGCTGGAAAATAATAGATAATGAAAGCATACAGACATTTTAGGGCATTTGTGGTCGGCTCCTGTTCTGTCGCTTCAGAAAAGGAAGAGAAGCAGAGCTGAAAATACCCGATTGTGCAGTGAGTCAAGATAGAAGCTCGTGCGTGGCTCTGCCAGTAGAGCTTGGCTTACAAAATGTTAATGTGCATTTTTACCACTTGTTCCTGATGCGTAAATAGCTCTTTAGCTCATTACATGCTCTGTGTCATTATGTCACTGTGAAAACATTTTAAGACCGTTAGGTGTTCACATCTACTGAATGTCAGGCTGACCGGACTTGAGGATGCTAAAGATCAGCTAAAGTTTGATCTGCTATTGACTCCAAGGTGATTTGACATCCTTGGACCATCAAACGATTAGTTGAGTGATCTTGAGCAAAATCCTGAATGCCAGACTTTTAACAAGCCAGGGTTTTGCTACGTTTTTTCTTCCCAATCCTGAAATCAGACTGAATCCCATAATTTTAGAGACGTTAAGTTTAAAACCACAAAAATAAACTTTGTAAAGGAAAGAAAAAGCGGAGAAAGGGATACTTCAAATCAGCAAATTAAGTCGATTACCTAAGATCCACAGACGGGTCCAGATTCTGGGTCTGAAAGGTGAAGTGCATTTAGTCTGCATTCTTTCTAATGGCCACCAGGTAGTAATCGCTCTCATTTTGTTCTACAAACCTCTATGATCAAATTCTCCGACTTCTCCCTTAGTTTAATACCTCCATAAACATTTACCTGGGGACTTTCTTGTCTCAATTGCTAGTTTGAAGTTCCATCTAATACAGCAAGGTGTCTATTTTGTAAATGATAGTGCTATTTAGAGTAAAAACATATGATTAAGGGTGCTATGCTTTAGGGTGTGGCTATACTTGTGAGTGACAAGTTGCTACTGGATAAGCAGTGTTTTTGGTTTCTCAGACTTGGCTTCAAAAACCAAGATGTGGGCAGCGTGGCTACATTCATGCTTTATAAACAGTCTATGATATCACCAGTGTCAGTGAGGTCAGTGAGATACATCACATGAGCGATGTTTTAAAAACAAATATTTCAGTTTTCCTATTTTTTGGACACATTTTACACAAAAAAGATAGATAGCGGTCACCTCAAGGCTAATGCTGAGGGAAAAGTCAAAACACTGCTGAGGTCGGGATGATTTTTTGCTTTGTGGCGGTGATTTTTGCAGCTTTACATCCAGTTTTCATTCTAGACCGAAAAGACTGACCAGCTGACAAACTAACAGCTTCAGTGAATTGTCTGTGACCATGAAGTGTCATTGCTTTGCCAAAGACAGTAAAATGATCTGCTTTGGGTGCCTTTTTACATACAACATCAACACCTTCAGAAGTCTGGCAGGAACGTTTTTATGGCTCCATGACATTTATCCAAGTACATCTTCTGCTCGCGTCTATGTTTGAATCCTCAAAACAACTAACTCACAAAGCTCTGCATTTCACAGGTTTTGAACATTTCATGGCAATCACTAAAACAGGGATGACATTCAGGTGTCCTAACTAAGCGGCGTCGACAATAAACGGGGTGTGAAAAAAACGCGGCTGACAAATAGCTTTGTTTTCTACCTTTAGTGGGTCATTCTGGTCTAAAGGCTCCTCTGGCTCACACTCTGGAGGTCTTAGAAGTTTTAGATTTATAGTTTAAAGACAAATTGAACTTCACAAGCACATTTCTCATTTTATGTTTTCCTGTTGAAGCTCCCATTGCATCTTCCTGATGCAAGAAGAAGAAGAATTTAATGCACTGAATACAGTAAATATGACAGCTTTGATGATATGGACACCCTCAAGCGGCATCTGAATGAATGCTGTCTGGACCCTCTGACCACTTACTGTATATAACAGACAATCAAACAAAAATAAAGTTTGACGCTTAGCCTATAAAATGTGCAAAAGGCTTTGTTACTGAGTCGGGATGAGTTGTTGACTTTTTGCTTGTACGATATTTGCACTCCAGTGAGATCCACAGAGATGCAGACAATGCTTTTTCTAACATTTGACCTTTATATTTTCCGAACAACTTTCACAGCAAGTAAACAAATACTACTGTTGTGCACACGATATGTAGAGCATAGACCCCTTCTCTTCATCATGTTCACATATAGCTCATTACAGACGTTTGCACATCTTCACAATCCATCCTCTGACATTTGTATACTGGTTCGATGAGTCAGATTTTGGGTGATATACCATGTGCTGTGTTGTCAATGGGCTGGATCATTTAATGGTTGGAAGTGGATGTACAGTAACCCAGATGTTTTACTTAATTATTCTGCTTTACAGACATTACATCAACAACAACAAAAATGAAACAGCTGACCCCAGGAGAACGGGAATTGCTGGTCTGGCCCTGCCCAAATTAAGCATTGCTCTGGCCTTGTTAGCAAGCTTGAAATGCTAATGTCTGATTTACATTTTGTCATTTAGATTTAAAATATGCATTTTCTCTTGTTTATGCCGCTGTCTTTCCCAGACTTCCCAGAAAAAAAACAGCTATTAATTAAATAAGAAAATAGGTTGTGCTCAAACACCAGTGCTGTGATTTAGCAATGTTATTAGCTCTCTTGAAATCACACTGTGGTCAAAATGACTGAACTTACAGAAGAACGAGTGGATCCGTGGCACATTTCATTACTTAAGCACTGGCACATCTCGTGGAAAGATGTCAGAGAACATATGCGCTTCAAAATGGACAGAGAGATGGTACAAATTCATGCACCAGATTTCTAATGCTTTTTTTTTTTTTTTTTTTTAAAGAGAACACAACTTCTAATAGCCAAAGGCTATATTGCAGAAAAGTTGCATCATGAATCAGGTGAAGTAGTACTGAGCTGATCCATCATCATTTCGTATTCTTTAGCATTTCAGACCTTAGCTCGATTCCATCATACTTACATACATACAGGTTAATATCCCTCCCTGCTCCTTAAAGTCAATAAAGGCTCAAAAATTGTCCTCTCTGTTTTGTCCAAACACACTGATTTCTTATTCATGGGGATTAATTTAAGGAATATTGGCTGGAGTCTGTTGGGCTGGATTATAAGTACCGCCAACTTCCTGCTGATTTTATCTACAGCACAGTTTACAAAAACTGCATGCCAGCGTTTGCAATAGGACGGAATTAATTGTAGTTTTGGAGTCAAGACGCTCATGAAAGTAATCTAAGCGACATCGGAAATCGTGTTAAATCTATGTCAAAATAAAAGCATTCCAGAAAAATAAAACAAGATACCAGCTGAGTGCGAAACTGAGATGCGCAAAGAAATGAAGTGCTTCCTATAGCGCCATGTTTTAAGATATTTTTATTCAACAAATGTGTGAAATTACAAACATCTTATCAAACAGATACCAAATACATTAGTTTGCAAATAGGAATTTATTTGTCAAGACAATGAATGGTAAGTTGTGAATCATGTAAAGGTCATGTATTCTCTATTTAGATCTCTTTTTTCCCCCAACTTGCTGGTTCATTCGTATAAAATGTTATCGGCTTATATAATTTTATTTTTAAGGTGCTTGCCGGAAATTCCATAACTTTCTTTTGACCTACGCTTTTGACGCTGCTGTTATGGTAACGAGAGTGGGCGGAGCTTGCCCGTGCCATTCGACTCTGGGTTTGATGCGGTGTTGAAGTCCTTGGTGACCAGCTTACAGTAGTCAGAGCCACGAGCGCCCAACTTTTGATATCCAGCGCACATTCAGTTCGCTGACTTACTCAGAATACAAAGTAGACGTTTTCTTCCAGTTTTAGTCTAATTTTTCGAGTAAAACCAGGTCAGCTTAGACCTGTCGCGCAATATATCCCCACCACCTTTCGTTGGGGTTTTTTTTTCCCCGCAGCCAAATAGTCTGGTTGCTGAAGGAATTAAAAAAGGAAATTAAATCAGACTTTTTTTCCTGGATATTTTTTCCGAACGTGGAGATGTGGAAGAAGGTATGAAGCGACTGCTATGTGAGGACTAAATGTGCATCTAACAGATATGCAGTGAGGTGCCCTGGTTGCAGTCTGCTCGGTCATCGAGCTTAGGGGGGAGAATCTTTCTCTTTTTTAGGGGGAGAAGTCGTGTGGTGCACAAAGAGCTTATTAAGCCGAGCATACAAGTTTTTTTCTTAACCATGCAGCCCGTGTGCTGACAGAGGGCTGAGCCTCGCGAGGAGTTGCAGCACCGCGGTTTGTTTCTGCCTTGTGTGTGTGTGTGTTGTTTTTTTTTCTAGACTTTCACCACAACACAAAGTTGGACAAGTTTTGAGCCTGCTTATAAACGCTCACTGTCAACGGAGCCACGCACGGACAGGCGTTAGTCAAAGTGTGCTTTCTCTCTGCGGCACAGTGTTGAGGCTTTTACTGAAGTCCAATTTAAATGCGTACTGGTTTTCGGTCAGTGGGTGCACAGCCGAGCTGCCAGTCGAGTGGCTGCCAGCGCCACTTGGTTTTTAATTCAAGTCGCTTCATTTTTCACCTTCTGGTAACGACACCATGGAGCTGATATACCAGAGCATTGTCCTGCTGGGGTGCATCTTCCTGGACTGGGCTCTTCTGTCGACTGCAGATGAAGGTGAGTGGATTTTTTCCCCTCTTAAATATTTATTTATTTTCATATTATTATTATTATTATTGTTATTTTCTTGACGTGCTGCCCACACTTGTCTTCTCGGGTTACACGGGTGAGTGAAATGTCCAATAAGCATCACATCCCGTCTCTTATCAGCGGGAAGTGTCGTAAAACCACAATGCATTTTAAAAAGCATGCTGTGCAAACCACCACACAAGTCATTTTTTATGCAAGTAATCACAGAGAAATCACGGCCACAAGCTCACTGTTACTGATAAATAGCAGTAAGAATGTCACTGTAGACACTGTGTTTGCAAGAAATGCCTTTTTTCTCCTCCATCTGGCAGTGGATTATTTAGTTTGTTTTGACAGAACTGTGTCACCGTGGTGCCAATCAATATTGTTTTTTTTTTGTTTGTTTTTTTTACAAGCTCCTTGTGGCTTCAGAAAGGCCATTTCTAAGACCAGCTCACTATTGTTTTTTTCTTCTTTTTTCATTTTCAAGTCATCACAAGGTTCCCACTCTGCTTCCTGGGGGATCATTAACCAGCTTACCTTAAAATCAATACTAAAACATTCAGTGGATAGAGGCTAGTACAGGAGTGGTGTGGTTTTAGTGGGTTAATGTAGAGTGCTTTTTAACTTTTACATTAAGCCCTGGAGGGAAAAAGGAAATCAAAACAAAAAAAAAACATCTCACATTTCATATCAAATGTGTAATCTGGATCATAATTTCTATTCAGTTCTGGCAGCAGGCTTGACATTAACAGGCAAATTGTCCTGGATCAGCTTTGTGAACCATGAAGGGGGAGAAACAAGGCAGCCTGAAATTATCTGTCATAATGTTAAAGAAGATGATGGTTTCAAATGGTCTGGTTTTTACAAGGGAGTATAGCTCCACATCATCAGCATAACAACAGGGGCAGTGTCTGGATAATTTGCTTAATGCAAGGGTGGAAGAGTAACTCTGAGTGAGCCAGGCTGACAAAAAGCAGAGGAGGCTGAGTGTTTATTTGTTCCTAGTCTTCTGACACGTCTGTCTTATTGTGACATTGATAGGGAAGTTTCGGCTACGCGGAGGGTACCGCAAACTGATTTAAGTTTGTTAAGGCTGCTGCCGAAACATCTCTCTGCAAAAGCCATTTATAGAAAATGGTCTTTGGAAATAATAGGTCTGTGTTTACCGAGGATCAAAGGATCACAACTGGGTTTCTTTAAGAGCTGTTGAACTGCAGGGTCTTTAAAAAGTACCTTACTGCTGTGTAGGCTGCTCGCTCCTGTTCACCTGCGAGGACTACTTTTTATTCCATGTTGTGCTTTTTCGTTTTTGGCACTGCTTATAACTTTGCACACAGCACTGTAGTCATATTTGCTCACTGGCTCACAGCTAGTATGTTTATTTCCCTCTCCATCACTTGTTGGCATTAGTTAATCAAGGCGAAATGGCATGCAGTCTATATATTAAGTTAAAGCAAAATGCTGGCGTTTCTCTTGTAGTTTCCCAACACGTGCTTCTTCAGGTAGTTTTACTAATTTTACCATTATTCACCCCCCCCTCCCCCTGCAAAAAAAAAAAAACCCAAACAAAACAATAAGGCTATTAAAAAAAAAAGCCCGCTTTTTCCTTGGTATTTCCATTCCAATCGAAAACCGTTCTAAACAGGAACTCCATGTACATGCATGACTTCACATATACAGTGCTGTGAACACAAATCTGTCAGCTGCATCTGGTTTGAGGCCTCAACCCTCCCTTCTTATCTGAGGCTTCCAGTTTGGCTTCATGCTGTACATACACATGGATGTGGCGTACATGACATGGCCCGCAGTTTTATTAAAGGGCTTTTAAGGATTGGATTTGCCACTTGTGCACGCACACCCGTCACATGTAGAAGTTAAATTACTGCAGCTACCGAGAGCCTGAATTCTTGCGGGGAAAACTTTGTTGACTTTGTATTTTGAGAGCGTAGTATGGGATTTTCCCAGACACTTAATTTTGGTCAGTTTTCTGGGAGTTCGGAATTCGGCCGTTAGAGGAGCTGGAGATTCTCCTCCAGCTGGAGCAGCAGGTTTTTTTGCAGCTGAGACTTGACCTCTGACTCAACTGTCCATTTTTCTTCTTCAGTCTTTCTCTCTGGGACACAGCAGATCCTTAACCTCAGGCTCTGTGTGGGAGGTGACGTCCCACAAGTTTTTGGTGTCAGAGTTATTGAGCATCTCTCTGAATAGCTTGTCAACTCGTCTCCGCTTGACCTTTTCCGCGTGTTTGCAAAGATGCTGGTTCCAAACAGGTGCGGCGCAGACAGTGGCGGTGAAGAACTGGCATGTAGACGGGAGCCGAGGCCTCGTAGCACCTTGTCGGCCGGCTCTAGAACATCTGTGTCTTGCCAAGTGTGAACAAGATGTCTGGTTTTTCGTGTCTTGGGTAATGGCCCACTCTTCTCCCGGCACACTCTGGATCACTCCCCCCCTTGTTCTCCACCTAGTAGGGAATTCTGTAATGAACTGATGGGAGGGCAGATGAAGCTCACAGCTGCCAAATCTCTCCTCCTTTTCCAACTAAAGGATAAATGACTCATTTACACACACCACTTGGTTGTTCAGAGCATGGATCTCTCTTCCCTCTGTCTTTGTGAAGATTAAAACACAGACCTTTTGATCAGATAATTAGTTTGGCTGGAAATTAATACCACTCTTTTTTTTTCCTTTTTTTTTTTTGGTTGAAATCTGCAGCGAGGATGAACACATACAGGCACACCAGACAACATTTTTGTCTGCCTTCCACAGAAAACACATAATTTACAGAAAATTATAACCACAGGTTTAAAGTATTAACTGCTATTAATAATTCCCACTTATGTACTACAATTTTAAAACATATTTGACTTCATAAATGTAAGCCATAATGACTCCTTATCCTCCCACACGCACACTCAACCTAGAAAGTGCTCATTTGGTTTCTCTCCCAGCCCCTTTATATCTTTCATGTACAGTTTCTCTTTCTCAGTAATGCCAAGATGCAGCCGGTGACAGGACCACTGCAGTCTTTTCCACCTGTTCGGGTCCAGATCTTTAATGACATTCCAACTCTTATCACTTATCAGTTATCTGTTCCATCTTGCAATATGCGATGTGGCTTGAAGCCATTTTTGAGTGCTAGTGCACCCCTGTGATCATCTAAGAGGCTAGACGTAAATTCTTGATATGAGTAAATGCACTTAGTTGCAGCAGATTTAAGCCAAATTTCATAAAATTGGGAAAAATGGATTAATGTATGTGTGTTTTGTCGTTGTTTTTTCTCTATTCATTATTACACTACTGCAATTCTCCAGCGGGGTGCCATTAAACTGTAATTAAGTAATTAAAGAATGACTTCAGCTAAAAACAAATGAAAACAGTGTGGAAAGCGTGATGGGGAAAGGAAATGGCGTTTATGTTGATTTCATGTATTAATTTGAGGAAGGTTGTGCTCATTGGTCCACACTGATCACTTTACTGGTTCTCTTCTATCCAGAACAACTTGTGCTTTTCTTTCTTATCAATACATCAACTTTCCACGTTAGCCAAGTGTTATTTTTTGTAATCATTTTGTAATCTACGATTCACCTTCTTTTAATCAAAGTCAACTGCACGTAGGTTTAATTGGTAGTGGAGAAATGGCTCAGTTGATGAGTAAATGTCTCTTGAACTTAACTCAAACAGTTTTGAAATCCATGTCCATCTCTCTTGAACGGGAATGGGAAGTACATCTGCAATATGGATTTTTTTATTTTTTTTTTTTACTGCAGCTGTTACTTCCTTATAATTTACAAGTCATCTTTTCACATAATGCACAACAAGAGAGTGCAGCTGCCGGAGTAATATATTTGGCTGAGGCCTGGCCTGTTGGGTTGAAAAATACAGACAGCACTTTTTTAGCTTCTGGCGATGGAGCGAGGAGGGGGAAGTGTCATCCTGTCTCTTTAGCGGTTTCTTCCATATCACTTTCTCAAACCACGGCTACCCTAATGCTAAAGCAGGTGATGGTAACATCTTTTTGTGTGGCACCTGAAAAGATGCACCATCCACTGTCTATTCCAAACAATGAGTTTGCACAGCTACAGGTTGGTGCCTTGGAGGCAAAGCAGTTAGTAATGAAGCCACTTTTAAAATAGTCAACTGCGTCAAAACGTATTGTGATACTTTGTCTGCAGGTAGGCATCTTTATCGACAGAAGCGCCAAGATTTTTCACTAACGAAGTTAATGAAGCTCCTGTTCTATTTTGGTGCAGATGCTTAATTAATGTGATTAGCAGCACCTGTGCTTACCTACTATTTCCTGTCCACATGGCAAATTTTTGCTGAGTAGTAAAGGCACTCAAATTCTGGCATATTGTTAATTATTTCTGAAAAACTAATATAAAATTATTAAACCATCTGTTGAGACTATATCTATTTTTCCTTATAGAATAGGCTAACCCCATTAGCTGACTGTGGTGCATCTCCAAAGTGTTTTGAGTGAAAGTCACATGGAATGGCGAAGGTGAGACTACCCTCTAAAACCTCTCAAAAAGCAACAACACCCATCATCGGTTTATTCTTTCTCCTCCTAGCTCGTCCAAGGCACAACTGCTGTGATGAATAGCGTAATGCCGCTCAGTCTAATCGAAACCCCAGTGTCTCAAATGGAGAAAGGATGTTTTTTTTTCTATTTTTTTATCCGAGAGGCCTTACTTGAGCCTCAATCCTTTCTTTCACAGACATGTATCCTTTTCTTTTGCTACTCCTTCCACATCCTCTGTCTCCTTGATGTTTGACTGGTGCTATGCTGTTTTCTCTTGCTGACTGTCTCCCCTGCCGTGGAAATGTGGATCGTTTCCCAGAAATCCTTTTAAATGGAACCGATTTTTATAAGAAAGGGATTTGCATTTAAAGCAACCTCCCCCCTCTCTGAAAGCCTGTAGCCCATCATCCTCAGTACCTCAATCCGATGATTAGCTTCCTCAAGAGTTAAACAGGCATCTGAG